GTGCCCACCAGGATCGAGCACAGTAAAGCAACGTCCTTAGTGCTGTCTGCCTTGTGATCCCCTTAGAACACCGTTTGCTCCTTCTAGCAGTTTTATTAGTAATTGTGGACCGGGTCACATGGTCAGCCTACACAAGCACTGTCACTAATTTTAAAAAGCATATTTGTGCCAGTTGACACCGAACTCTGTCAAACCACTTTGCGAGTTGGTGGTTTGTGACGTTTTCATGCTCTAATCCAGGCCCCCTTGGTGCTGTTCCTCAGTTTGGTATAACTGTCCAGTGGGCAGGATGCCAAATTGCATTTAGAGGGAGCGAGTCAGTTAAGTGACCTGCAGGTGAGCAGTCCAGCTCCTGGCCTTGGAGTAGGAAGAGCAGGAACTCATGTCTCACTGCCCGCCTTGGCACACAGTGGTGGCATCACGCGGTCGACCTTGTGAAATTGAGTGTCTCCCCCTTGAGCAGAGGGCTGGCGGCTTCTCGAGAGCGCTGCCCTGCAGCCCGCCGCTGCCTGGCCTCAGCAGTTTCAGCTCCTTGAGGGATTTTTCTTCAGCCACCAAACACAAGCACTTGGCGCCTGTCAGAGAGCCACACCGCCATGTGTGTGCACACAGTTTTTTTGTTTTTTTCAGGCAGCACTTGATCAATTCCAAATGTCAAAAGTATCTTAGAGACAGAATTAAGAGAAGGAGCCGTGAAGGATGTCCAGGTAGCTGCATCATGGTGATTCGTAGGATGTGTCCCCTGTGACTCCCGTTTCTGGAATTGCAGCTGCAAAGTTACTGAGCAATTGAGCCAAAGGCAAGCTGAAAAGACAGCAGGTGATACGGTAGTGCTACAGATGAGTTATGCAATCTGTTGATGTAAACATTACCTCCTATGTTTCTAGAGTGAGAACGTTATATAGAAATAACGATCTTATGTGTGTGCAAACTGCACATGCCTTTCATTTTAGAAAAATATGATATTTTAATTGAAGTATAATTCACATAAAATTCACCCTTTTAAAGTATACGATCATTAGTTCAAATTAGAATATATTCAGAGTTGTGCAAGCATCACCACCCTTCAACCCATAACATTGTAACATTTTCACCCTCCAAAGGAATCTGTTACTCGCCAGCCCTCTGAGACCACTGTCTCTGTGAAATTGCCTACTATGGACATTTAGTGTAAATGGAACCACATAGTATGTTGTTCTTTCACTTACAGAATGTTCTCAGGTGCATCCGTGTTGTAGCACGTATTGGTATTTCATTCCTTTTGATGAATGCTCCCGTGTGGAGATACTTCGATTTGTCATCCGGTCATCAGCTGATGGCCGTTTGAAAGGCTTGCACCTTGGCTACCTGAATAATGCAACTGGAACATTTGTGTATGGTTTTGTGTGTCCCCTCCGGGAACAGCTCAGGGTGTTCTGGTTGGTGACTTTGTGTCTTATGCTCAGCCCCATTCACTGCAGTACAGATTTTTGCCTCAGTTTGGAGCTTACACCAGCCTTTCAGAGGATATGCCCGGTGGCTTCCTTGATGTGGTTGGACTGCTGGATTGTTCATCAGGAAATCTGGGTGAATAGACAGTTTAGTGGCTGGTTTCAGGCTCGCGTAGCTGATGAGAAGCGCCAGCTGTCCCCCAGGCTCTGCGGGGTGAGTCCGCAGGGCTGGATGAACAGTGCCTAGAAGGGACCAGGAATGCAAGTTGGTGTCCCACCTCCCTGCCTTGCCGAGTTGCGACTGCCCTCGTCATTCCGTCTCGGTAGCGGCTCCCTGCAGCGTGACTAACTCCCGCCTTGTCTGTGCTCCGGTTTGTGAACAGTCTGGCGACCTTGGGTTCAAGACTGGCTAAGTTAGTTGGCTAAGAAGTTACATAATCAGGGTTCATGGTCTTGTTTTCGTTGCAACTGTACAAAGAAGCAGAATCTTAGAGCTGGAAGGATGACATAAGAATGAGAAGCATCAGTTTGCCTATGTTCCAAGAAAAGAAAGGAAAATCAGGGACTTTTATTAGCTTTTATATGTTATAATTTATTTATGAAGCTCTTAAGAAGGTCTGTAAGTTACTATCCCTTATACCTGTAGAACTCACCACAAAATAGAAAGGTGGCAGAGAAGGTCACTGGGGAGGAAGGCCTGGCCTTGCTGGGCTGGGGTAACTGGCCTGGGGTATGGCCGAGCAGCAGGGTCTGGGACAGCAGTTATCATGGAGCTAGCGGTGGTTTAGAGGAGCCACACCCAGTGTTCCTGCTGAGGAATGTGCCTGTGGCTCACCTGCCACGCAGAGCCCCTCACTGTATATGCAGCCCAGTCATGTCTACACCTGTCTGCAGGGTCTCGGGGGCCCTGGCTCCCTGTAGGAATGCCTCTGACAGCACAGTTGGGGTTTATGGGACAGATTCTGTCTTTTCACTTTAGTTTACATAGGCTGTTTTGCAAAGCTAGCTCCTAATGGAAGAAATTACAGGTGAATATAAGGGAAGTGTACAAACGCCCTGCAGCTAATGCATGATGTGCTGGGGCACAGCATGAACTGACTTGCTATCCCTATGAGGCTGACATCATAGATGAGCAAAGGAGAGGCTGGTATGAACAACACTGAAGAAAGAATCAGCATAAGACATGCAAATAGGAGTGTCAGACACAGAAATGCTGGATTGCTTAGGTCACTGGGTTATCTGGCTTTGAAAAGCGAGAGAACTTGAAGCGGCAGGGGCTGTGGTGGCAGGAGGAGTGGGGCTGGGCCCCTGCTGTGCACACCCTTCCCCTTGCCTTGCTATCTTCTGCTGGCAACGCTGGGTGATGTGCTGCCCTTCCCAGGGGGGACGACCTTCCAAGATGCTGGTGTGCCTGAGGCTAGCGAGTGGCTTAGAGCCCGGGCCAGTGCTTCCGACTCCAGCTCGTGCGGCTGTCTTCCTGTTACACCCGCTGGCTTTTGTCCAGCTGAGACTCTCTGCCTCCTTTCCAGCTCTGTTTATTGCACTCCTGAAAAGCTGACACCTTCGAGTTCCTTTGGAGCAGCAGTCCCCAACCTTTTTGGCACTAGGGACAGATTTCATGGAAGACAATTTTTCCATGGACCAGGGAGCAGGGGGATGGTTTCGGGATGATTTCAGCACGTTACGCTCACTGTGCAGTCAAGCGTCTCTGCTCATGATGCTCTGTATTTGCAGCTGCTCCCCGGCACCAGCATCACCGCCTCAGCTTCACCTCAGATCACTGGGCATTGCATTCCCATAAGGAGCACACAGTCTAGATTCTTTGCATGTGCAGTTTACGGTGGGGTTCGAGTTCCTGTGAGAATCTTATGTGGCTGCTGATCTGAGGAGGCGGAGCTCAGGTGGTGAAGCCACCAGTGGGAAGCAGCTGTAAGCACACGTGAAGCTTCCGTTGCTCGTCTCCTGCTGTGTGGCCCTGTTGCTAACAGGTCATGGACTGTTATGCATCTGCGGCCCCCGGGGTTGGGGACTGCAGCTTTGGAGAACTGAGGTGTGGGACCTAGAGCCACATGCTTGGGCCATATATTCTGAGTGGACCCAGGGCCACATGCCAGGGCTGCGTGCTCTGAGGTGGGATCTGGATCACATGCCAGGGCTCTGTGTTCTGAGATGGGACCTGGATCACGTGCCAGGGCTCTGTGTTCTGAGATGGGACCTGGATCACGTGCCAGGGCTGCGTGCTCTGAGATGAGACCTGGATCACGTGCCAGGGCTGCGTGCTCTGAGATGGGACCTGGATCACGTGCCAGGGCTGTTTCTCTGAGATGGGACCTGGATCACGTGCCAGGGCTGTGTGCTCTGAGATGGGACCTGGATCATGTTTCCAGGGCTGTGTGCTCTGAGATGGGACCTGGATCATGTGCCAGGGCTGTGTGCTCTGAGATGGGACCTGGATCACGTGCCAGGCTGTGTGCTCTGAGATGGGACCTGGATCACGTGCCAGGGCTGTGTGCTCTGAGATGGGACCTGGATCACATGCCAGGGCTGTGTGCTCTGAGATGGGACCTGGATCACGTGCCAGGGCTGCGTGTTCTGAGATGGGACCTGGATCATGTTTCCAGGGAGATGGGACCTGGATCATGTTTCCAGGGCTGTGTGCTCTGAGATGGGACCTGGATCATGTTTCCAGGGCTGTGTGCTCTGAGATGGGACCTGGATCACGTGCCAGGGCTGTGTGCTCTGAGATGGGACCTGGATCACGTGCCAGGGCTGTGTGCTCTGAGATGGGACCTGGATCATGTTTCCAGGCTGGATCATGTTTCCAGGGCTGTGTGCTCTGAGATGGGACCTGGATCACGTGCCAGGGCTGTGTGCTCTGAGATGGGACCTGGATCACGTGCCAGGGCTGTGTGCTCTGAGATGGGACCTGGATCATGTTTCCAGGGCTGTGTGCTCTGAGCCAGGGCTGTGTGCTCTGAGATGGGACCTGGATCACGTGCCAGGGCTGCGTGCTCTGAGATGGGACCTGGATCACGTGCCAGGGCTATGTGTTCTGAGATGGGACCTGGATCATGTTTCCAGGGCTGTGTGCTCTGTAACACAGTGCTGCACTGTAACACAAAGATGAGTCAGACTCAGGTCCTCTCTCCTCCTGGAAAAGCCTTATTGAGTTTAGATACCTTAATAGGTTGGATAATTCTTAGATATTGTACCATAACGTAAATTTCTTATTTCACTAAAGACCTTCCCCAATATCACTGCCTTTCTATCTTGGAAGCCCTGAGGTTTTGCCATGTGATCTGTTCTTACACGAATCCTCCCTGTGCCTCTCACGGGGGTGCAGACAGCCTGCTCCCACTGCTTACCTGAGGGTCTGGACTCCCAAGGCTGAGGAGGGCAGGTGGCCAGGCAGGGAGCTGGGTCCCAGGCCTCCCTGCAGCCCAGAACGAGGGCCTCATTCAGCAGGTGCAGGTTTCTGTTCAGAGGAGCAAGCATTTAAAGCAGCACCTTGGGTAGGAGTGTTATGTGCAGATTCGGAGGCAGCTACTGACATTGTCTCCCTCTCCGCAGTGTGCAGGAGAAGAGAACTGGGTGGACAGCCGGACCATCTACGTGGGGCACAGGGAGCCCCCTCCTGGCACAGAGGCCTACATCCCGCAGAGATACCCAGACAACAGGATAGTCTCCGCCAAGGTAATTGTGGTCTGAGCGTCTAAAGACACTGGCGGGAGGGCCCTGGGACTCCCCACAGCCCAAGCCACGCTGCTCCCAGCCAAGGGCATGGGACGGCAGCTGTGTCCAGAGCTCTGGCCTCTTTATCCCTCTGATTATCCCCAGATACTTTGAGACTGTGGAATGTCTAAGCACGTTGTCTGTATTCTCTTTTAATCGAATCACAGCTGTAGTGTGCAGTCTGAGGTCCAAGATGTTCAGTCCTACCACTGTGCTTACTTCCTTGCTCTCTGCTGTGTGCTTGGCATGCGCCACCCCGGGCCAGAGCTTCCTCGTCTGTGAAATAGAAACAATACTCATTGCCCCCAGCGAAAACCACCCCGAAAAATAAAACATGGAAGAATCTAAGAATCTAAGATTGTCCTATTTGCATTAGTTGCAAGACGAAATGTGAATTGAATGCCATGATTTAAATGAGGTGTATTTCTTTTCATTGACTGGAAAAAGAAATGCAAAGATGTGTGCTACACACTTAGAGAGACCTAAAAAATGGGTGTTAAGAATAGGGTGGAAAATTTAGTTGCTGGCATTGAACTCGGGGTAAGTGATGGCTTCCAGATAATGGAGAACTTTTTCCTTCAGATGTATAAACAGATGAACCTGAGAGCACGCGCATGCACGCGCGCGCGCGCGCGCGCACACACACACACACACACACACACGGGGGTGCTGATGATGCAGCCCCCGAGGTAGGCCTCCTTAGTTCACACTTGTGTGTGTCACACGTGAACCTATAGGGGCAGGATTCAGGGACACAGGTGACCAGGCAGGAAACTTGTGCTGTGCAATGCAGCGTCTGCTCCACACAGGGCGTGTGTGAAGGCACCTCCCCGCTGCAAACTCCAGGCAGCTGGCTTCTCCCTTCCAGGCACGGAGCTTAGCCCTGAGGGTCCCAAGTGCCTGGACCTGCCGTCTGTATTTGTACCCATGCCAGTTGATGAGAGGAGTCAGAGGACGTTGTTGCGCGTGGGATATGGGAGGGATCTGAGGGATGCTGTGCTTCCGATAAAAGCCCTCCTCACGATTTTGGAGGCAACAATGGAAAGCAGCTATTTCTCTGTCTTCTCTGGCCCTTTGCTGACTGATTCACCTTTCAGGGCCTGTTAACCATTTCCATAGTTTTCTCCCCAGACATCCCTGCAGACAGTGGCCCGGGTGATTCTGAGCTGCCTGCCCACGCACTGCCCCCTCCCCGTCTGCCATGGCCCCTTCCTCTCCGCAGCCCCAGTCCCCAGACGCCTCTGGGTCTCGAACCAAGGACGCCCTGCACCACCACCGTGCGTTTCGTTAGTTTATTGTGGGCTCCCAGGGACTCCTAGAAGTGGTTTCCTCTGGGAAGTCTCCTTCAGACCAGGAACTAACAGTGAGGATGGCTCAGGGCTAAAGCCCTTGAAGAACTTTCACCCCAGCTTCTGCAGGGACTGTGCTCTCAGAAGCATGCATGGAATGCTCTTCATTCTTCAGAGAGCCAGGATCTGCGGCTTGATCTCAATTTCAAGTGGATGATAACGTGTAATTTCAAGGGAAAATTACCTATGATGTAAACTCTGCTAAGGAAGCCCAGGAGGGAAAGGCCTCAAGGAGTGGGGGTTTAGACTGCGTGCTGGGAGTGGGGTTGGCGGCGGTGCAGACATGGGTGGACTGAAGTGGGATTCTAGAGCGTATAATTGAGGACTCTTAATTTTATTCATTTAACATCTCAGAATGCATGAAAAGTACTATTTAATTTGTTAAACATAAGTTTAACAAGTGACTTTGGAGAGTACATGTATAGTAAATTATCTGTGTTTTCTTAAGAAGAAAATTTTTATTTTTACTTTTTAAAAAAGACTGGCAGTTAAGCCTTTTTAAGTGCCACAGAAGCCTATCCTCAGCAAGTTTACTCTTATTAAATCAAAGGGTGTGAAAGCACTTGTTATGTGAAAAGTTATATGAAATATACCAATCTAATTACTTTAAACTCCTAAGCTGTTTGATAGAAGTGCAGTTATTGGTGATCAGTGATCGATTAGAACTTTATTTCCTTTTTGAGGGAGATACTTTGGGCAGTGTCTGGTAGAAGAAGTAAAACCCAGAAGTTACCACCCAGCACAGCCCCTGTCCTGCATCCTGCCCACATGCAGACCGCAGGCCAGCTGGCTCCCCAGGAGGGACCCAAGGAAGTGATCCTGAACCCGAGGGAAGGCAGCTGCGGCTCAATTACAGAATTGTGCTTAGGGCACAAAGTCCACGTGGTTCCAGCTTTGCCCTCAGGAGCCTGAAAAAGGAAAGATTGGCGTAGTCTATACCGTCACTCTGTGCCTTCAAGAAAGTTGAATTACTTCTGATTATTGTGGGGGGAATATTCCCTCTACCAAGTATCAGATAGAAACAGCATCTTAATGACTCATTTGTATAAGTGACTTCCATGGTCATCATATCTTTTAAGCTCTAAAACAACCTGTGAGGCCACTATCACTATTCCCAACTTACTCAGGAGGAAACTGAGGTTTGGGGCACAGTAATGTGCCCGAGGCCATAGGAGGTGGGTAAGCCAGTCCTCAGCCGCCACCACCTGACCCCGCCACCGGGGTGCCTGCCACAACCCTAGCATCGCCCCTCCTGATGCTCCTTCATTTTCTAACATCAGCAACCCAGAATTTGGCATAATTTTCTATATTTTACATTCCCATTTTGTAATTATAAATGGAAGAGAAACCTCAACTCTGTGCAAGTTGATTATAATCCAATTAGGCCAGTGTTCTGTCTCCAGGTCGTTTTTAGGACAGTCACATGCACACCTGTGGTGCTGGATCCATTTGCAGGTAAATAATAGCTGAGGCTTCAGGGCAGTTTCCAGATGCTTCATCTTGTGTCCTGGCTGCTGGCAAGGCAGCTTGTGCCCAGGGTGTTTCTCTTACAGGTTGGTTCCTTGCCACGTGACTGAAGGTACCAGGCAGGGCTGTGCTCTTCTAATTCCAGGCAGGTGACATAAAACCAGGGATTGGCTTACACAGAAGAATGGGAGGCACAGCAACATGATGCTCAAGTACTGATGAGGTGTTCTCAGCTCAGGATTAAAACCACAAAAAGGCTGTGTAGACTAGGCATGAAGTCCTTTGCAAATGAGAGAAATGCAAGGGGTGATTAATTGTCTCATGCCATTCAACAAACCTCGCAGTGTTTGTTGAGTGCAGGGAGCTGCTGAGGTCTGTGTTGTTTTACCAGTTTCCCGGTAGAAGGAAAAGCCCCTTGGTTCTGTGCTGTGGCTTTGATACCGGGAATTTCCAGGATTAAGTACTTCTACTGATTGTATCACAGTGGGAGGTATTAATATTAATAGTACTTGATACTACCTCAGTTGTGGTCAGATATCCAGGCAAATATTTAGATTGTTACTATTTAACAAAGATGAACAATGTATAAGGAACTCACAGCTGTGGGCTTACATGTGCAATAAAATGCTGGTTTGGTTTATTTTGTCCAGGTATTACTGACATATCAGTGTAGTCATGAAAGTTTAAATTATTTCATTGGGTTTCACTTTTCTTATCGTATATCATCAGGAATTAATAACCTTCTTTTTGAGAATACTAATGACCAGCACTAGTAACTTACTTTGTAGAACATGCTGAGTGTAGAGGGTAATATTGACCACGTTAATTTGGTCTTAGCTGCAGCAGCGCCCCCCCCCCCTGCCTGATTACATAAAGTAACCACTTAGTGGTTTTAAATTCCAAAGCTGTGCAGTAACATTCAAGTAGAGCAAGACCAGATACTTGCATAGTCTTCTAGGGTTAATAAAACTTGATTTGCATATTTGAAAGGATCATAGAAGATGATAATTTGTTTTATTTTATCTCATGTATATTATCAAAACTTCCTAATACAGAAATTTGTCAAAACTGCATAAAAGTAAAGAGAGTGTATTGTAAATCTCTACTGCTTATCACCCCAACCTGTGGCCAGCCTGTCTCCTATGCACCCCGTTTTAGTTGAAGGAGTATTTTGAAGGAAATCCTAGGTAGCATATAGTTATTACCTATAAATATTTCAGGAAATGAAAGATAGAATTTTGAGTAGAAACTTTTTTCATTAATGTGACTTTGTTACTGAGTGATATATTATAGAAATTTGGGGAAATATTTTGATTAATTAATAGATAATAAATATGTTGGCCTGGGTGCTGGAAAGTAAGGTTGGTCTCATGGGGTGGGGCCTTAAAGACAATTCCATTTTGGGAATGGTGTCTCTTAGAAAGGAATTATGTGAAAATATGTGAAGAATATCATTCCATGTTTGTCACAGAAACATGAAAAGTAGAGATAAATGATGTGATTACATAATAACTTTTATATTCCTTTTATATTCTCTTTTAAAAGTCAATGGAAAGTAACTGACTTTTTTGTCTGTCCCATCTAAGAGAAAATACATCCTTCTTAAAAATTAAAAAAAAAATTGATTGGGGAAAAGCAAGATGAGTGACAGCAGTGTCCCAGGGCAGGGAGGAATTTGGGCTCCCTGTCATAGGCATCTATACTGCACGTGAAGTGGGGTGTTATTTGAAAGTGGACTTAGATTAGTTGTAAATGTATATCACAACCTCTAGAGCAACCACTAAATAATTGTTTTAAAAAGAAGTATAATTGATATTCTGATGCTCAATTAAAACCAGAGAAGGCAGGAAAAGAATAGAAGAAACAAACGAATAGGAAGAAAGGAATAGAAAACAGTTATATATGGTAAATATTAATTCAACTATATAAATAATCACTTTATTATTTTTTTGTAGAGATGGGGTCTCACTGTATTGCCCAGACTGATCTCAGACTCGTGGCCTCAAGCAATCCTCCTGCCTCGGCCTCCCAAAGTTCTGAGAATAAAGGCATGAGCCACCATGCCCAGCCTCAATAATCACTTTAAATGTGAATTGTCTAAATATACCAATTAAAAGACAGAATCTGTCAGATAAACAAAGAAAACCACCTAACCATATGTTATCTATAAGAAAGCCATTTTAAATGTAAAAACACAGATAGATTAAAAGTAAAGGATAGCAAAAGACAGCATAGTATACCATGCTAATCTCACTCAAAAGACCACATGATTAGCCTATTGGTCTATTAGCTAAGTCAAAGTAGACTTAGACTTAAGTCAAAGTAGACTTAAGAATAAGAAAAGTTATCAGGGATGAAGAGGGTCATTGCACAACAATAAAGGGATCAATTCTGTGGGACAACTTGACAGTCCTTAATATGTATGGACAACAGAGAATCAAAATATGTGATAGAACTAGAAAGAGAACTAGGAAAATCCACTATTATCATTGGAGACCTCATCACCCTGTCCATCAGACAGAAAATCAGTAGGACTTAGCTGAACTGAATTGTACCATCAATCTATTGGATCTAATTGACATTTATAGACTATTCCATCCAACAACAGCAGATTACATACTCTTTCCAAGCTCACAGGGGACATTTACTATAAAAGACAACATTCAGGGTCATAAAATGTACCTTAACACTTCAAAGAACAGAAATCATATAAAGTATTTTCTCAGTCTACAATTGAATTAAATTAGAAATAAATCAGTAATAGAAAGGTAACTGGAAAATCCCCAAATATTTGGAGATTAAACAGTACACTCAAAAATAACACATAGATCAAAGAAGAAGTCTCCAGGAATAAAAATATTTCAAGCTAAACAAAAAATGAAAGTAGAACTCACTTAAATATTGTGGGAAGCAGGGAAAGCAGTGCTTAGAGGGAAATTCATAGTATTAGATGCATAGCTTATAAAAGACGAAAGATATAAAATCAACAAGCTAAACTTACACTTTAGGAAACTAGGGGGAAAAGCAATTAAATCCAAAGTAAGCAGAAGGAAAGAAATAATTTTAAAACTATAGCAGAAATCAACAAAATTGGAAACAGATCAGTAGGGAAAATCAATGAAATCAAAAGCCGGTTCTTTGAAAAGATCAATATAGTTGATAAACCTCCAGCCAGGCTAAACACGGGAAAAAGAGAAATGACCCAAATTCCTAATATCAGAATATAAAGAGGGGTATTACTACTTATAACATGGATAATAAAAAAGTTATAAAGGAATATTATGAACAACTCTATGCCCATAAACTTGATAACTTAAATGAAACTGGCCACTTCCTTGAAAGACACCATCTACCAAAACTCAAACAAGGAGAAAGATAATCTGAGTAGGCCTACATCAATTAAAGAAATTGAATCAATAGCTAATAACCAAATTCAGGATATGTGGGATAGTTTAGGACCATACCAGGCTTTGGTTATTATGTTAAATTGTAAAGAACTTATGGTTGTGGCCTTAAAGGAGTTCTTGGGATGAGAATTTGACAACTCACATCTGGATCCTGCCAATGCCAACACCCTCCTCCCACCGGGAGTTTGAAATATGCCCTGTTGAAAATGCAGGCCCATGGCAGAGGGCTACAGCACAGGCCATGCAGGGGGCTCCTTCAGTTTTTAGTAGACGGTCTTCATTACAAAGCAAAAGCATGTCAAATGGAATTTTTAAAACCATTTCAGACTCAGTGTTCACTGCAGGTTCATGGTATCTGGTACATTGTTTTCAACATAGAGTTAAGTGAAAACCCTCCTCCCAAAGCAAAATGAAAACTTTGGAGAGTGTGCTGTGGCGGGACACGCCTCTCTCCTTCCCCTCCATTCCCTCGGAGGGCTGGGGCTTGCAGGTGGGCCAGGGACACAGGACATGGCTGCAGAGAAGCTGCCTCTGCGCCAGGTTGAGACTTCTCTGCCAGCGTGCTGTTGTCACCTGGCCATACTGTCACAAAAAGGGGAGATTATAAAGAAATTAATGAAGTAAACATGCTAATTTTTTGAGTTGATGATTATAGTTTATATTTTATGAAAGACATCTTAATAATAACACTATTGTTGAATTACTTTGAATTTTATTTAGAATTCTCCAGAATTGGGTAAGGTACATATGCTAGTGTTGGAGTAAACACTTTGTTTTAGCAGTTTGTTTTTGTGGTCAGTTAATTGATAAAATGTCAACAAACACCCTAAACTATACATTATGGGTTTTGTATCTAAAACTAAACATTTGTATGTTGAAATCTAGTGCTCCTTGTTATGTGGTGGAGTAACACTACACAAAGTAGGATCTGATCTAAATGGCACATTTTTGTTTTTCTTTTATGCAGTACACATTTTGGAACTTCATACCCAAGAACTTGTTTGAACAATTCAGAAGAATAGCCAACTTTTATTTCCTTATCATATTTCTGGTACAGGTAAGGCAACTCATCACATTCAAAGCTAGTAAGTGACATTTTATTCTCAGGTAGTTGCATGCAGTTTGCTGGTAAAAGAGCAAGGATTTTGCTGCCCCTCATCTGTTAATACAGTTCATTCATTTATTTTCTTGAGGACAATACGTCCATTCTATGAGACCCAGACAAGCTAAAAGATACAGGAGGTCACTTTGCAGTTATGTTGGTGACGGCCAACCTTTCTCCACTCTCCTTCCAGTACTAGAGGGGAAAGGGGAACTTGGTAATCTAGAAGTTCAAATACTCTCTTCCTAAGTGCATGTGGACATGCTAAAGAAAATCCAAAGAAGTTACACATTAGAATACAGTTGAAAGAAAAAAGAAAGGAGGGAAGGAAGGAAGAAAGTAAAAAACCCAGCAATAGCATGAATTAGAGAGTGATATGTCAGGTGCGTTTTAAGAACAGCAATCTAATTTTTCTAAATCATACAAACTACAGTTGAAGGACTTTTAAAATTACCCCAACATTAAACTATCCAAATGATGTAATTAAAGTAAGATATCGGGGCAGAAAAGTGAATGAGCACAAGTGTGTGTAGCACCAGGCCATGTCTGCCGCTTGCTAAATGTGGTTTCTTAATCAGCCCTCTTAATTAAAGAAAGCTCCCTTCAGTTTTGAAGTCACTAAAATGGGATGATTTACTTCCTGTCTAATTTATCTCTAGCAGTGGATAAAGTAGGGTGCCTGCAAAGCATTTTAAATAAGTGAAAGCAAAGGCTAAATGGTGGCTGGGGCAAACCCACCTGTCCACAGCTGCTGGTTTGTGTTCATGACACAATTCTGCAATTCTCTTTTCGCTGCAGTTGATCATCGACACACCCACGAGTCCCGTCACGAGTGGACTTCCACTGTTCTTCGTCATTACCGTCACAGCTATCAAACAGGTGAGCATTTTACAGACAAAAAGGGAGAAAGTTGCTATCTTTGCTGTGTGAATTGCCTTGCTTGTTTTAGCTGTTCATGTAAAATTTAATTAAGTTCTAGAGGTTCACTTTTGTGGCTGTTTTAGATTGATATTTGAGTTGAAATAAGAGAAGTCTTAGAATCTAGTTGCTGATTTGGTACCCTTTGAGTTTGAGAAGAAAACTATGGTTTTCACATCCTGAATCCACTAGAGATGATTCCTGGTTTCGATGAGTTGCATGGCCTTTCTGTATGCTAGTGGTCTTGACCATGCAACGTGCTCCTCATAGCGCTCTTATCTGGATTTCTGGTACCACCTGCCGGTCCAGTGGACACACTCAATTGCAATCCTGCTTCTTTCTAGTCCTGACAGATAAAGCCAGTGTCTGACATGGAGAAGAGCATGTCTTAGTTTTTCCCATTATCCGTTTATCCAGTTTAGTGGCTCAACCTTAGTGTCTAGTTCCAGGAAATTTTCGTCACTCCAAGAAGAAACTTCACACCTGTAAGCAGTCACTCCCACCCCTCCTCCTGCAGCCCCTGGCAAGGACTGATCCACTTTCTGTTCCTGTGGATTTGCCTATTCTAGACATTTCATACGCAGATTTCTTTTGTGGTCTTTTTGTGGCTGGCTTCTTGCACTTAGCAGGATGCTTTCAAGGATTGTTCACATGTGCCAGTATCTCATTCCATCTTATTAATGAGTAATATTCCATTGTGTGGATAGACCACGTTTTGTTTACCTACTCATCTGCTGGACATTTGGGGTGCTTCTACTTTTTGGCTATTATGAATAATGCTGCTGTGAACATTTGTGTCATAGGTTTTCTCCCCCCACCATTTATTTATTGTTAATTGACAAATAATAAATAATATATATTTATTAGTGGACATAGGTTTTCAATTCTTGTGGGCGCATACCTAGGAGTAGAACTGCTCTAGTGTTTTGAGGAACTGGCAAAGTGTTTTCCAAAGTGACTGCACCACTTTACATTCCCACAAGCGATATTTAAGGGTTCCTGGTTGTCCACTTTCTTGTGAATGCTTGTTATTGCCCTTCTTTTTATTACAGCCATCCTGTGTGTGTGAACTGGTATTGCGGTTTGCATCTCCCTGGTTACCAAGGATGTTGAGCATTCTTTCTTGTGCGTATTGGCCATTTGTACATCTTCCTTAGAGGAATGTCTTCAAATCCTGCACCCATTTTATTTTGGGTTATTTGTCCTTTTATAGATGAGCTTTAAGAGTTCTTCATATGTTCTAGAGACAAGCCCTTTATCTGCCACAAACTTTGAATCGGTGATACTTGCATTTCATTGCGGTAGACACTCTTAGGTGCTGTGTTTTCATTCTTTCACGTGCTGGGAAATGTTGCAGACAGCAGTGATCCACCACCCTTAAGTTAAAGGGACTTTCACATCTGACAAAACTCAAATGCAAAGGCAATCAATCTTAATCAATCTAGAAAACTTCTGCATGCTGTATCTTCTGTTTTCTTCTTTCGGTATAGCACCCCAAACTCTTTGACCAGAGTGTGTGCTTTTGTCTCCGAGGAAGAATTTTAATGCATGCGTCTGTGCGTATTTGAAGCAAAAGGGTCCAGCTGGGCTTTTGGCTGTGAGAGCCCGGTTGGGCTGCCTGTCCCGCACTTTAGCCAATGCTGAGCTTATGCCAGCGCAGCCCCAACACTGCTACTTAATGCCATGCTCATGTGCAGGGAGAGCTATACGGCTTCTGCCAGTGTCACAGAGCGGGTCGGTGGCTCACTGAGTCTGGGCCGCCAGACCTAACAAAAGACTTAGTTTTTTAATAGAAGAGAGGTATGGCCAGCTTGTGCTTTTCCAAGTAGGATGTTTCTGTTCAGTTGGTGAAAATATAACTGGGGCTAAGCTTCTTAAGGACTTTTTGGCGTTTTATATTAAAGGCCTAAAAGTCTTGCTTATCTTTTGACTCGGATCTTTCTTTTTAGGAAGTTATCCTAAGGTCATAGCATGCACAAAAATATAGTTATATAGTATTTAGATATACTTTGATAAACATCTTTATCAAACAACTTTGCAGTTATAAAACTGCAAAAATTTAAAGCAATATAAATTGCCATGGAAAAATGCCCATGCTATATCAAGGGTACAAAGTAGACTAGTATGTGTAGTGTGATCCTAATTTAAAAAAAAATATACAGATACAGGCTGCTGTCAAGAAAAAAAAAAAAATACACTTCCTACAGGCGTGAATTATGTTTAAACATAATTTAACGTGAGATTTCTTTTTCTCCCTTCCTCCTTCCCTCCCTCCCTTTCCTTTTTAGGGTTATGAAGACTGGCTTCGCCATAAAGCAGACAATGCCATGAACCAGTGTCCTGTCCATTTCATTCAGCATGGCAAGCTTGTTCGGAAGCAAAGTCGAAAGCTAAGAGTGAGTAATAACTGAATTAATAATTTTAAAAAATAAGTTTTAGCTAGATGTGTGGTCCATGTGCCTGTAGTCCCAGGTGCTCAGGAGGCTGAGCCAGGAGGATCGCTTCAGCCCAGGAGTTGGAGGCTACAGTGAGCTATGATTGCACCTGTGAATAACCATTGCACTCCAGCCTGAGCAATATAGAGAGATCTTGGCTCTAAAAAATTTTAATTTTTAATTAATTTTAATTTTTAATTTTTAATTAAAAAATAAATTTAAAAGGTAATGATGAGTTTCATTTTCTATGGCAAAATAAACTGTCTGAAAATTATTTTATTGTGTATATACCTCCTCCGCAAATACTTCTCTAGTGTGACAGAGAACCGCCTTTGCAGTGTAGACAGCACAGTGATGCCCTTACCCCAGGAGTGCCTTCCAACGGCAGCAAGACTGTCCGTGCAGCCAGAGGGACTAGCACTGGAGGGTTGGGAGGTTGTGTACCTTCCAGACACACAGTCTAAGTCATGAGATGCCTTCCTTGCTGATGAAATAAAAAAGATGCAGATATGAAAAATATAGATGTTTACATTTTATTTAAAAACCCATGTGACAGGCTGGTCCGAAGGTAGTGAATTATCTCACTTGATTATTCACAGTCACTTACAGGTTGAACTCCTTGTTCTTCTACTTCCCCTTTCCTCACTACTGCATTTGACTAGTCTTAAAAAAAACCCAGAAAACCCATATGACAAACATTGTGATTGATTTTCTTTATTTTAGTACCACTTTTGCTTTATTTGTAGTCCTGCTTTGGTAACCTGGGCGGTGTTTCCATTCTGTTGATCAGGAAGCTCTTGGAACTCTAGTACCTGTGTTATAAAACATCTAGATTTAGAACAAAGCCTTCCTGCAGGAATCCTTCCCACTCAGCCACTTTAATAGAACACTTGAACTTACCTCTCTGCTTGCTCTGAATCAAACATAATCTTGTTACAGATGTTTGTCTGCGTTTTCGTTGCACAATATCCAGTCGCAACGTACCTGGGTGCTCTGCCATTGCTGCATTGAAACCTAGCCTGGTCTCCCCTTGGTTCCAGCAGAATGTCTAGAGAGGACCTTTTTCTTGAGTTGCATTGGCATCTGCATGTCTTGCTGTACATAAACACCATGATGACACCTGGGTACAGACTGAACGCTTTAGGAAGAAACACACAGACACAACAGGTACACTGTCTCACCAAGGTGAGACTTTCAGTGCATCCTCTTTCTGTCTGTTGTGCAGGTTGGGGACATCGTCATGGTCAAGGAGAACGAGATCTTTCCCTGTGATCTGATCTTCCTTTCCAGCAGCCGGGGAGATGGGACGTGCCATGTCACGACCGCCAGCTTAGACGGAGAATCAAGTCACAAAGTACGCACCTGTTATGTGAGATTCCGGGCAGGGTCTTGGATTCATGCTCAGACAGTCCCCGTGTGGCCGCAGAACTGGCATCCTATTGTAATGTGCGTGTTTCGGTGCCACAGTGAAGATTCGGAGAGCCGTTGTGCTGGCCACATTTTTCTTTTTCCTTTTAAAAATGAATTTCATTATGTATATTTAAGATCTGTGACATGTTATAAGATACATACATATAGTGAAATGTTATTATAGTGGAATAAATTAACATATCCATCATCCCACAGAGCTACCCATCCCCCTCTGCCAAGGCAAGAGCAGCTGTAATCCACTCATTTATCAAAAATCCTGAATAGGATACACAGTTACTTGACTATGTTCTCCTTGTGCATTGGAGCTCTTCCCACTCGTCCCATTTTTTGCTTCTTTGTATCCTTTGACCCACCTCTCCCCTTTTCCTCCCCATTTTTTTCTTTCTTCTCAATGTTTGTAACAACCATCTCAGGTTCACAAAAAGAACTTTAGTGTTAGCCTGTGTGGTTTAGCTCATGTTCTAAATTAAGGATTTAATAAATAGATTGTTGGAATTTTAAAGGTTTTCATTTTAATAGTCAAAATTAGTGTCTTTACTAGCCTAGAAATTATGTGGTTATACACACTTCTAGATTTTTTCCTATTACTTTCAATGACTGCCTTTTTGTGAAAATGTCTTAATAAGGATTTTCTGAAATTACTGCATAATTATTTTCTTATGCTTAGTATAGAATTCTGCATGGGCAGTTGATGCTACAAAAATTTTAATTATAATCATAAAAAATATATAGCACTGTCAATTTTAAGGTTTATATTATTTTAAAAATCTGGAAGTTTCCAAGGAATTAATAAAAGTGAGCATAGCTTAGTGGGTTCAACCATTTCTAAGTCATTAGCTCTTAAAATTGCAATTCTAAAATGGTAGTAATATTTAAGTAATACCTATGGATATAGGCAATTTCTCCAATGAGATAGAGATTTTCTTTATAAAATCACCAGAGGATATGCCAGTCTTTCATGGGTAGCTCATGATATTATATAAGGCCCTATGGAGTTTTTTTCAGCTAAATTTATTTTCACATTTTCTATGTAGCACATACCAGGAGAGTTAACACGCACCGTAACAGATTGTCAGCACAGTGCTTCTGGGAGTGGGAACCCCTGCAGGAGTCAGGGGTCTGCTGTGAGGGCTGCTGGTCCCTCCACAGCCAGGGAGGACCTCATGAGCCAGTCACACCTCTGCTGGCAGTGCCAGTGGTCTGGACCCCGTCCTGCAGAGGAATACGCTGGTCAGGCCCAGATGAGTCCCAGCGACACTAGTGACCGGAGGCTATGGGTCTCTGATGTGACATGTTTTTCAGATGAAATGTTGCAACACTTGTGGAAAATGTTGGAATAGCTGTTGCACGTTGGCCTTCTTGACTTTTACACTTTGCATTTTAATTTTGTGTTCTTTAAAGTATTTTGTTTGGCTGGAATATGAACCTTTTCCTTAAAAGCAGAGTGGGGGCCAGAACAGTCCACTAACTTCCATTGAACCCTGCAGTGATCAGGTGGCCTGGGCAGATTTGTTAGCCTCTCTGGACTTTTCACATCTGAAAATGGGGACAAACCTATCTTGTAAGGAAGTAATTAGAACATTTCCTAAAGTGCTGGATATACAACAAGTGCCCCTGAATGTGTGCCCTATGCGGTGGTGATACAGTTTCACATCTGTTTGTTCTGACTCGCTGCACTTTTATTTGTCCTGCACTCGGTTATTCGAAAGAAACATCAGAGGGGATTCAGAGACGCCGTTGCCTCCTCCCCAGCCCTTGCATGTGTTCTCTCCTCTCTCCCTCCCGGGGCGGGGCAGGGCAGGTGCAGTGCTCTCGCCCACCTGTTGGTGCTCGCAGGTGCTGTCCGGGTCAGTGGGTGTCAGAATGTGCTCCTGGGCCAGCAGCACGGCAGCGCCTGGGATCATCCTGGAAATGTAATTCTCGGGCCCCTCTGCAGACCTGCTGCTCAGAATCTCTGGGGTGGGGCCCAGGAATGGGCAGGACAAGCCCTGGGGGTGACCCTGCTGCACACTCAAGTGTGGGGAGCCCCCGCCCAGGCCGCACGAGCAGTCAGGGAGAAGGCACATGCCGCCCAGCAGTGATGGGCGCAGCAGCTGCCTGCGGGGCAGCGGGAACGCAGTGGGGTGATGCTCCGGCTGCTCCCCGCATGCGGTCGGCAGTGGGTAAGGGAAGAGGGACATTCAGCTCCTGAGCTTGTTTCCTGTTTGACAGCTACTATGGCAGATAAATCAAAGGTTCCAATTTTGAGGAATGCCCAGCAGAACTTCTATTTGTTCTATTATAAATAATTTTAAGGTGAGGACACTGGGTAAGAATGGAAGAATTAGAAGTTTTTGGCACCTAATAGGTATAGGAGTCTTCGAGGTACCATATCTTTCTATAACTGTTTCACAGGTGCAAACTCTGTAAAGTGCATGCTTTCTCGGGCAGTAAGCCAGGCTTTGTGATTGGGCTTGTTTACACGCACAGACAGCTGAGCCCCGGGCTGCTCTTGTGTTGGAGGCGTCAGCTGCGAGGCTGGCGTTGGTCACGTTGTTGGTTGTGAGTCACAGATCTCGATTTGCAGACGCACTACGCAGTCCAGGACACCAAGGGGTTCCACACCGAGGAGGAGATCGACGGGCTGCACGCCACTGTCGAATGCGAGCAGCCCCAGCCCGACCTGTACAAGTAAGTGGGTCCCGGGCCCCTCACCTGCCACTCGCACGCCCTCAATGTCTCCTTGCGTTTCACCTGCAGTAGTGCAGCAGTATGGTTATTTGGAAGTAGAATGTAAACCACTGCTTAAAAAGTAAGACTGAGTCAAAAATACATTACCTTTCATAGACTAGCCCCATTCACATCTGTGGCTTTTTTTTTTTTTTTTTTTTTGAGACAGAGTCTCACTTTGTTGCCCAGGCTAGAGTGAGTGCCGTGGCGTCAGCCTGGCTCACAGCAACCTCAGTCTCCTGGGCTCAGCAATCCTACTGCCTCAGCCTCCCGAGTAGCTGGGACCACAGGCATGCGCCACCATGCCTGGCTAATTTTTTCTATATATATTAGTTGGCCAATTAATTTCTTTCTATTTTTGGTAGAGACGGGGTCTCGCTCAGGCTGGTTTCGAACTCCTGACCTTGAGCAATCTGCCCGCCTCGGCCTCCCAAAGTGCTAGGATTACAGGCGTGAGCCACTGCGCCCGGCCACATCTATGGCTTTTTATGCAAACGTTTGAAGTGGCTTCATTGAACAAAATTTATTGAAGAAAAATTAAGTTTTCTTAATGTTGAGGAAGTCATTTGTGGGTTAAGAAAAATCATTTCAGCCATGGCTACTAGGGACAGAAAGCGCAGCAGGGAAGGCGGGAATGGAGCCGGGTCGGGCAGCCGCAGGCGGTGGCTCCTCAGCAAGGACCACAGCTCACCTCACGGCCTTCTCACTCGGACAGGCAGGCGCCAGGGGTGGGTGGAGCTTGTGCTTTGGGGACAGGACCATGGGCACCGCAGTCAGTAACTTGGCTTTTCTGTTGCCAGGTTTGTTGGTCGAATAAATGTTTACAATGATCTGAATGACCCTGTGGTAAGGTGAGTGCTTCTTGCAAACACTTTGGCCATTTCCATCTTTGTCATTATGTTAGAAATTCATTCTTTTATTGATATGAGTTTTTCGTGCTTACCGCTCTGTTAGATTTTCAAAGCGCAACTCTGCTTTACGAACAGAGCAGGTTCCACTGTCTTGTCTCACCCATTCCCTTGAACACACATCTGTGCATGTTAAATAAATGATCCTTGTGAAAAACGTCTTCCTGCAAGACTCCTGTGTGGCCGTCTGGCACGGGAAGCATCAGGGTCCCACATTCCCAGGACGTATGTGCCAGTGTGTCTTCAGTTAGGCAGTTGAAGACCTCTAATTTGGAGGCCACCTTCTTGGACTGTGTTAGTCTGCTCATAATCACCACTGTGATGCGTGTTTGGCTCAAGGCCTGTCTCAGGCTCACGTCCACCTGGGAAGAGGGGAGCCTGTCACCAGGGTCGAGTCCGTGCTGGGGCAGCTCACAATGGGTGAGCTCACGGACGCATCGCCAGGACTCGGCGGTGGTCGGCAGGCCTGTGCACGGCAAGCCGCTCAGACGCCTGACCGGCCGCCCCTGAGAGCCGGCCTTGTCGCGGAGGGCAGCGCCTGCCCCGTGGGCCTGCGTGTTTTGTCTGACATTGTTTCAGCGTCTACCAGCAGTTGCTTATGAGGTATTTGAATGTTACAGTTTAGAAAATTGGCTTTCAGTAGTTTTGACGTTGTTCCTTTTCCATAGGCTTTGCTTATTAGAGAAATCTTTCTTCCAATTTAAGCAATCTCCAGGCTGTGGACACATGGGTACATCATTGTGTATTAAAGAAGACATTTTCCCAGAAGTGGAAATAAACTCATTGGGAAATTAGTGCAAAATAAATAGTTCTGAAATGTAAGTCCTAGGGGCTCATCTCCTAGTCAGGTTTCTAATGTTATTGTTTTAAGGAAATAATTTGTGTACTTCTTAGCATGTTTTTATCGTCATTATCCGTCCACTGGTTAGTATGTGCTTTTCAGAGTAGATGGAGACAATGCCTTGTTTTTCCTAAATATATATTATTCTAAAAGTAAATTCCTAGTTACTTTGGAGAAATAAGCTGTATTTCTGTGTGTCGTAAGAATTATTTTGTGTTGGGTGAATGGAATTAGGCTTATTCATGAAGCCTATGGGCTGCGTCCGACATTGTAAACATCGCAGGTTTTTCGGCTTTGTATTCAGGCGAAGTTTATTACTGAGCAGCTTGGGAAGATAACGACTAATGTATTTTGTATTTTGATGCTAAGTCTAGTTGTACTTTTTGGTATTTATACTCTTTAGTAGACTTTTAATATTTGGGTTTTTAAAGATGTTTATGAATTTGTGGTATGATGGTTATGAATTATACATTCAAATTCACAATTTATTCAGGGTGATATTTATTCTTCTTCCTATCCAAACTAGAAGCAAAGTACTTTTCAAGGAAATTAGTTTTAGACTTCCAGAGTCTCTTTTTAAAAGGGCTATTTGTTTTCATAAACACTGGTGACACAAACTATTATAAGGGCTTCTCTAACAGAAGCCGACAGTCCCGTGACAACCGGCCGGCCAGTCTGCAGCCCGGCGACTCTGCCTTCAGTGGCCGTCGGGCGGGAGCAGCACCGAGCCCTCAAGTGGCCTGGCCAGGGCGGCTCTGCCCTCCTCCCTGCCGTCAGTGGATGCAGTTCCCAGCTGTGTCAACCGAATACGCTGAAAGCATTTTAAGTTCCTAATTCTCAGTGTTCCACAGCAAAAGGATTCATTTTGCAGAGTATTAAGTACACAAATTAAAAGCAAACTTCAACAAATTCTTCCAACTTTTCCCTCCACCCGAAGAGATCGTGAGGATGTTGTCAATAGCAAGATTTGCACATTTGAATTTTGCTGCTCATTTCTCCTTTACTGCTTCAGAAATGAGAAGAGATTCATTTTCCATCAACCAGGGAACTGCTGGGTTAGGATGCCCCTCGTGGCAGAGACTCGAGTCTCTGTGCGCTCTCTGCTGAGAGCACCTCCTGCTCTTCAGCGCATGAGCCTGAGCTCCTTGGCGTCGCTCGCTGCCCACGGCAGCCGGGCACAGCTGTCGGCTTGCAGTCCCTGCATGAGCGAGTCTCTGCAGCAGGGCTGCCCCGCTCTTTTGGCCCTGCTGGTTTCCTCACCTTCATATTTAGAATGTGACTATGGGAGAGGAGACCTCCAAGTCTCAGTGGGGACATGACAGAAACACATAAAAGTTGTGTGAGTCACATGGCCCTGGTGTGCAGCTTTTCCAGAACCTTCTGGGACCCTCCAGTGCAGGTGTCCTCAGACTTGAGACGTGTTGGGTGCGGGCTGCTGGGCCCCAGCCCAGGGTTTCTGACTCTGGCCCTGCCCTCGTGGGCTCCCATGGGAGTGCCGGGGCACTGCTGGGGCACCTGGGCTCCGGCTCAGCAATGGGGGGCCTGGGGGCCTGAGACCCTGCATCCCACAGCCCACCGGCGAGCGAGGAAGGGTCCCACGGAATGGCGAGCCTTCCCCACAGACAGAGACCACACTTTCACAAGCCCGCCGACCTCGGCATCCTGCTAGGAGCACATCCGGTGCAAACCGTTCCCTCCGGAGGTGGGATCTGAGAAGTGGATGCATGGCTTTGCCGTCTCCGTCTGGCTGTCCTCTGTCTGCCCTGTGGTCGTGTCTGACCATCCTTCTCTTTACAGGCCCCTGGGATCAGAGAACTTGCTTCTTAGAGGAGCCACACTCAAGAACACTGAGAAAATCTTTGGTAAATATTTAATAATAAATTGTTAATAATGGCTTCTAAAATTAAGAATACCGTACGGAAAGCTAAAATCCGCAGGGGTGGCCTGATGGCGTTTCCCTGTGCCCTGAGGTGCTGCAGACTTGTGGCAGTGATAATTCGGCATAAAACTTAGGTAGTGTTGAGGGTTAAGGGAAAGCCACAAAGCAGTGGCGTCAGATAATAGGACTCTCGTATTAAGTGTCTTTAGTTTTTGACTCAAAAACGTATAGTTGTACCCAAGGAGAATTTACAAAACATAGTTCTGTGGGAAATTTCTCTTAACCTGTGCCTTTTAGTGCTAGTGTCGATCACCATGGTGGGTTATTTCCTATGTTTGAATTAAATAAGAAAACTTTTCAAAATATACAGTGTCCCTCAGAATCGGGGGGGGGGGGGGGAGAGTGTTCGTTCCAGGATCCCTCACAGAGACCAAAATCTCGGAATGCACAAGCCCCTTACATAAAACGGTGTAGTGTTTGCACATAACCTTTATGCGTCCTCCCATGCACTTTAAACTATCTCTGTTGCTTATAATCCCAATGCAATGTGAATGCTATGGAAATAATTGTTACAATGTGTTGTTTTAATTTATGTATTTTTATTGTTGTTATTTTATCAGATTGTTATTTTATTTAGTGGAATATTTTCCATCCCTAGTTGGTAGAACCCCCAGATGTGGAGGGCTCATGGTATATTAAAATATGAACTTTAGAAAAAATAAAGTACAGATTGCTCTCTGTACATGAAAAGTCTCTGTTCTAAAGAATGCCATTGTTTGACTAGGATAGCTGGCTTGCCTAGTGAAATTAAAAACATGATTTGGGTTTTCCCTGAGAACCCACTTTCACCCCAACTGTGTGCAATGCACCGTGAAGGTGCTTGCATCATTGTCATCACACTCTTCCTCTCTGCAGGTGTTGCTATCTACACAGGCATGGAAACCAAAATGGCATTAAATTATCAGTCGAAATCCCAGAAGCGATCTGCTGTAGAAAAGTAAGGCTCTACCTCTCGTTTCACACGGGCATAATCTGTGGTTTAGAGTGTCGGCAGCCACTGCAGGCATGAAAGCGTGTTCCTCGCGGTCCCTGTGCCTGGCTGTCCATATCCTGGCCACTGCTGAGCTGGTTGTCAGGCTGACTGTCGCGCTTCCTGGTGAGGTGACAGCCACACACCTTGCTGCCTGAGCTCCTGACGCTCAGCGCCGGGCTGTGAGCGCTGCCGCCTGAGGACCCTCCGTCTTGCGGGTGCCGCAGCCCGTCAGATGCCCAACAGCCCCTCCTCCATTTCTTGAGAAAGTCAAGAAGTCTCGGGCTCCCTTTCAACTCTGGGGTTTGCTAGAAACCACATATTTTCTGATGTGGTGTTACTAAGAAAAGCATTCACAGAGAGAACTGAGTCTCCATTAGAGAGTCAAGTCCTTGTGATCATATATCAAGACGGTGGCTGGATTTGTAAGGAAATGCGGCCTGCAGCTTTGTCTTTGCCCCTTGTTAAAGCATTTTCTTGCTTGGTGTGGACAACTGGGTGGCCACCAAACCATTTAGTAAAGAGCCACGTGCTGTTGATTGACCGTCGAGGAGACTGGGGGCGGGCGTCCTGCCTGCTGTGGCAAGTCGGGCTGGACACGGGCCAGGGCCCCTGGGTGCCTGTGGCTGTGCCAGTGGGATAAAGGGAGGCTAGCTGCCAGCAGGCAGATGCTCTGTTCCAGATGTCCACATGTGGAAACTGGGTTTCAGAAATTGAGATTGGAAAATAAAACCTTCGCAAGATCTGCTGAGACTTTGGTTAAGGACATTTCCTTTCAGAGCAGTCGCTTTTCCCTCCTTCCCTGCCTCCCAGTGGTAATCAGTAAATATTGAACTCATTTTGTGATGCTTGATATAATTGATTTGGGGTGTTCTTTTAAATTATACAACTCTACACTGCACAGAAACCCTTGTCAGCAATATGGTCTGTGCAGTTTTCCCTCCTGTTTACAAGCTGTCCCTTTACTTGGTTCTTTGCCTCGAGGCCTCTGGCATTACCTGCCAGCAACCCTGGAGTGCACGCAGGCAGGCGTGAGCAAGCCTGTACCTCCATTTTTCCTGCGTCAGCCGAGGCACTTGCTTCAGCACACACCGCTGTGCTTGTCCTGTTGTTCCTGTCAGCGTTGTCCCCATGTTTGTGGGAAAGGAGGTGCAGAGCTCGTTCCTCAGAGGACGATGCCTCAGTAACCCTTAGGTCCTTTGGTTCCAGATCTATGAACGTATTCCTCATCGTGTACCTTTGCATCCTGATCAGTAAAGCTCTGATCAACACTGTCCTGAAGTACGTGTGGCAGAGTGAGCCGTTTCGAGATGAGCCGTGGTATAACCAGAAAACCGAGGCAGAAAGACAGAGGAATCTGGTATGGAAAACAACTCCCTTTGTGTGACTAAGGATTCCCCGTGTTCTTTGTTTAGGGCTGCCCAGTAAATACTTAGTAATGATTATGAGTTACCTGGTTACATGGTACATGTTTGTGGTGAGTACATGGAAAAAAGGCACTGGGTGCAGAGCAGGGCTGTGTGCAAACTCAGACCTGTGTCCACTGAGTCTAGGGCAGAGCCGTATGCAAACCCAAGCCCCTGTGCACTGAGCTCTCAGCAGAGCCATGTGCAAACCCAGGCCCCTGTGCACGGAGCTCTGAGCAGGGCCATCTGTGTGTCAGCCCATCCTGTCCCTCCCCAAAATGTTATGGCTTCAAAGATTAGAACAAATGTATGCACAAAAATCATTCTTACCAGGCTTATTTTTTTTACATTTATTGGCTATTACCTAGTAAGTTTGGTTATGTAAGGGTTGGAAAGAAATCTCACGAATTCTCAAAAGTTAACTTTCCCGTTGGCTATCAGTCAGCGTGGTCTCCGTCACTGGCACACGACTGTCTTAACACATGGTTTAATCTCGTCCCCTGGTGGGACGGCACCGGCAGGGATGGCGCCAGCAGGTCCCAGCCCAGAAATCGGTGGCAGCAGATGAGCAGCAGCTGCACCGCCCCGAGGAATCCTGTCTGTGGACTCTGAAATCCTGTGCTTGGTGACGGCCTTGTGCGGCACGCGCCTGCGATTAGGTCTTAGACGAGCCGCAGCGACCCGGCTGCTCCCTGGCGGAGGGCTGACGGCGTGGCGCTCTCAGTTCCTCAGGGCGTTCACCGACTTCCTGGCCTTCATGGTCCTGTTCAACTACATCATCCCCGTGTCCATGTACGTCACCGTCGAGATGCAGAAGTTCCTGGGCTCCTACTTCATCACCTGGGATGAGGACATGTTTGACGAGGACACCGGCGAGGGACCGCTGGTGAACACCTCCGACCTGAACGAGGAGCTGGGGCAGGTCAGTGTCTGCGGGCGTCTCCGTGATGCGCCGGCCGGGGCCGCCCTCCCGTGCCCAGCTGCAGGTCCTGAATGGCCAGTGTGACTGAGCGATTCACGGCGCCATGCTCTGAATGGTCCAGTGACACTTTTTCATTCCAATTCATGCACAGAGATGTGACTCCTCACTGGTGAAATATGATAGCGAAGTTGTTGTTTGGACTTTATTTGCATAACAATTGATAATGCTTTTATATGTGTAACTTATGCAAAATTAATTGTATTAACTGACTGACATACTCACCTGCGGTGGCACCCAGCACCTCTCTGCCGGGTGAAGTGGGGATGGGCGAAAGGTGAGCGCCAGGCGGCTGAGCGCCCTCCCGGGCGCCTGTCTTACGGGTGGCAGTGAATGTCATCTCCCCTCTAACGATGAGCCAGCCCAGACCTAGGCAGTGTGCGGCACGTGGCACCTTACAGAGTTCCCACACGGCATTCGCATCTCGCTGTGAGTGACAGCTGTGTGGGCCCAGGCAGGCGGCGTCCCCGCTTCACATGAGATCCTCAGTCATTAGAGGAGGCGTGGCAGACACCTGCCTGTCCAGACCACAGTGGTCGCGACATGCGACGCCAGGGCCTGTCTGGTGTGGCCGTGCAGGCGTGTGCGGCTGTGGCCCTGAGCGCCCTGCTGCACCCGCAGGGGCTGGTTGCAGGGGCAGGTCTGCTGCCCCCGGCTGGGCCAGGAGACCCCTCAGTTTTCCCCTCCCCGGAGGAGTGGCCTCCCCACGTTTCCCAGACTGGATGTTGTAGGAAAGGCAGTTTGGGAAATGGTAATTCTTCCATTTTGTCTTTTCTTTTTTTCAAAAAAAGGAAAAACTGTTGAGGAGCATTTTTACAAATCGGGCCGTTTCAGACTGGTAGCCAAAATCTCCATCATCGCCCCCAAACAACAGTTTGTCAGAAGAACCAAACTCTAGATACAAACTGCCTTCATCCGCCTCCTGTAAGGAGCATTCCTTGCTGAAAGATAGCCTTTCCTTTGTCGATGAGTTTGGCTTTTCCAGTGTGTTCGTCTGGGACGTTCCACAGCCATGTGGCGGCTTAGTGTTCAAGTCAACAGTGCACAAATCATAATTTAGTTGCCCAGTAGTAAGATATTTTTATCTTAGAGTATTTTTTATCCTTTGCAACAATGGATGGTATATTTTGTGTATTCCTGAGAACTTCGTTGGGAAAGAATTTTTTTCAGTAACAAAAATATCTAGCAGTGTTGAGTGGGGCAAATTCCTCTCTCCCTGACCTGGTTCATCTCCCTGGAGTCCATCAAAGCAGGATTTGATGTTTGTCTTGCTGATGGAAGCCTGGCTCCAGCCAGGAGGCTGACCTGGCCCCTAGACACAGAACTGAGGTTAGGACTAACCGGCCAGCCCAGAAAACAAGATTTCAGCTGACTACCAGGTCAATGTGGGTGAAATTCGCACGTGCACTGTTGTCTAGACAGTAGAATAAGACTGTTGTTCTTGTATGTAAGGGAGAGACTCACCCACCACTCCAATGCCTGTGTCCACAGCTAAAGCACTGTCTCCTTCCTAGACTGTGTGCTACATGCTGTGTGCACACCTTCTTACGTGATCCTGTCCATGTCGTGTGTGGTCAGTATCGTCAAGTTTCTCAGATGAGACACTGAGGCTCAAAAGATTATCCCAACAGTCTCAGTGAGTTGGCAGGGCCTGCTCCATCTGTGAGCGTAAATCCCTTGGAAGGTGTCTCTCATGAGATCAGGTTCAGCAAGCCAACCGCGTTGCAGTGAGAGCTGCCTTTGTTCTGATGGCAAAGATGACAGTAGCACTGGTTAGCACTTGTCTTAGAGTCGGCTGTCTCCCTATGAGAAAAGAAAATTATAGGCCAGTATCCATGATGAGTATAGTAGCAAAGATCCTAAACAAAATTCTAGCAAACCAAATTCAATAGCACATTAAAATCATGTGCCATGATCAAGTGGGATTTATCCCTGGGATGCAAGTGTGATCCAACATACACAAATCAATAAATGTGATATGCCACATTAACAAAATGAAAGATAAAAACGATATGATCATCTATTGATGCAGAGAAGGCATTCAGCAAAATTCAACATCCTTTCATGATAAAATACCTCAACAGATTAGGTATAGAAGGAATGCACCTCAGTACAATAAAGGCTGTTTATGACAAATGCACCGCTGATGTCATAGTCAGTGGAGAAAAGTTGAGAGCTTTTTCTTTAAAATCAACAATAAGACAAGGATGGCCCTCCACCACTTCTATTCAACATACTACTCAAAGTCCCCGCCAGAGCAAATAGGCAAGCAAAGGGACTAAAAGACATCCATGTAGAAAAGGAAGAAGTTAAATTGTTTGCTGATGACATGATCCTATATCTTGAAAAGCCTAAAGATTCCACCAAAAAACTGGTAGAACTAATAAATTCAGTAAATTTGCAGGATATAAAATTAACATACAACCCTTAGCATCTCTGTACACCAAAAACAAACTACCTGAAAAAGAAATCAAAGACTTTCGCGAACTTGTTTAATGTAGCAAAGAAACAATCTCCCACAGTGTGTGGACAGTGGACCCCTAGAAGTCCACTCCTGTTGGCACCGTAGCGGGTGCCGGGGAGGAAACCGGCCACCGCGGGTGTGGACCAGAGAGCCCCTCGCCCCGCGCCTGACTCTGCGCTGCCCGCAGGTGGAGTACGTCTTCACGGACAAGACAGGCACCCTCACGGAGAACAACATGGAGTTCAAGGAGTGCTGCATCGAAGGCCACGTCTACGTGCCCCACGTCGTCTGCAACGGGCAGGTCCTCCCGGACTCCTCGGGCATCGACATGATCGACTCCTCCCCTGGCGTCAGCAGCAGGGTAGGTGCCGCGCCCCCTTTCTTCCGGGGCCCAGGAGAGTCGGGCTCCTCTGCAGACTCCAGTGAGGACAGTCACCTGTCGGCACCATGTGTGCCTGTAGGCACCGTGTGTGCCAGCTGCCTGTAGGGTGACCCTGGTCAGCAATGCCCCTGCTAGAATCACCTGTTGGGACCTGGACAAGCAGGGCAGATGGCACGCTGACAGTAATGTGAGCACACAGGCACCTCGCACGTGCACACCCCCAGCACTGTGGCTCCAGATCCCAGCACCCTGGGCAGGGCTGGGGTCCTCAGTGCTGGCCTGGAGACGGTGCCTAGACGGGATGTGCCGAGAAGTGGGCGGGCTCGTGTCGGGTGTGTAGTTGTGTCCTCTCACTGAGAGGACACCGTCTCCCCCTCTCATGTGCCCAGGTGGATGTGGTACAGCAGCCACCATCTTACCACAGAGGCTCGTGGCTGTGGGGGTGTGTCAGGGTGGAGCCCGTCCTCCTGGCCCACCTGGCCCACAGGTGCAGTGGCAGCACAGCCCTCCTGACCTTGGCCGCACACGGGAGTCCCAGGAACCTTCAAGCTCCTGGGAGTGCAGCATGCAGCCGGGGCAGAGGGGCCTCAGCGTGCGGTGACCTCAGACACATCACTTCACCTTCCTAAACTTTAATTTCTGCAGCTACAAAATCAGGAGAATAGCTTCCTCTTCATAGGTTATTTTTAGACTGAAGTTTGCCGTGCAAGTGCGCACGGCGCTCTGTAAGTCAGGTCTGGAGTAACGTGCACAGCTGTCGGGAGAGCGTTGCTGTCACTCGGGCGCCAGGGCCCAGCGTGTTTGTGGACACCGTTGGCTGCACTCGTGTGACACGAAGGCGCCCTTTGCTGTTGCTTCCTGGACACTTCACCGTGTTGGCCGCTCTGAGCATGTTGAAGCCCCTGAGGATCCGACAGTGTCGCTGCCGGGCACAGCACCCCTCATCTGTCTGCCTTGGTGCTGGTCACCGTGGAGTGTCCCAGAGCGAGGAGGGCCCAGTCGGAGTCCCCTCCGTAAGGCCAGGGCAGAGCCGATGAGCCTCTGCTGGCAGCTCGCGCCGCCCCGCTCCCCACCCGCGCCGCCGTGTCTGTCTTAGGCAGAGATGTATTTTGGACTTTAATTTTGACAGGAGCGCGAGGAGCTGTTTTTCCGAGCTCTCTGCCTGTGCCACACCGTCCAGGTGAAAGACGACGATGACGTGGACGGCCCCAGGATGTCGCCCGGCTCTGGGAAGTCCTGCGTGTACATCTCGTCCTCACCCGACGAGGTGGCGCTGGTCGAGGGTGTGCAGAGGTGGGTCGGGATAGCGTGTCAGCCTGTGGTCAGGGCCCTGCTTCCAGCCCGTCACGGCCTCACCTCGGGACCGGCCTCAGTGCCACCCCGATGCCGCGTGTCTCCCGAGCCCTTGCGCTGGGGCCCCTCGTGGCGAGCGCGGCCCTCGGGCCCTGGCGCGGGAGCCTCCACCGCTGTTCTGTGGGGCGGCAGTCCCTCCTGCGTCTGCAGCGGGTCTGCGACAGCCACAGGCTTCTAAACGGAAAACACCCTGCGCTCCCTTCACCGCGGGTCTCCTTCCCACAGCGTAGGGGCTGAGGCCACACGTGAAGCGGCGCTCCCAGCAGCGGCTTGCAGACAGCAGGCCGGGTGCGGGTGCGTCTGTTCCCTGCTTTGTCTCTGGGCCACGTCACATGACATTAGCGTCGAGCACCCTCCTTGGAGGCCCTTTCGGTGGGAGTTCTTGCCCCCTTGTGAGACACGGCATTTTAAGCAAACACTCGGGAAGACACGTCACACGTTCCAGATGTGGGGCAGACTCTCAAGCCAGGAAAGTCGTTTTCCAGTTCTCAGGCTCGCGATTCTTACGTACAGTAAAGGCGCTAATTCTCCGCCCTGCCTGCCAGTAACATATGGGCGTCGCCTTCCAGGACTGCATGGTTGGGAGGGGTCACGCGTTAGTGCTCTTATCTAATCAGAGCAGTCTCCTTGCGTGTTTTCCTCACGCAATTGGATTAGCGGCCCAGATTTGCAAATGTTACACCGTGGACCTTTATTGTGTAAACCCACGCGTGCCTGGGTGGGGCTTCCCAAAGCTGGACGCTCTCTTCCGGGAAGCCAGTGCTCAGGAACTGAGCTGCACGCAGTCACAGGTGTCCGAGGTGGGCAGGCGTCCTGGCCTGGCCTTCAGACGCAGCAGTGCCGAGCTTCCCTCAACGTCCCCACCTCCGCACCGCGCTACAGCCTCGCGGCTGCGTGTCGTGTCGGGAAGTTCGCCCGTCTGCCTCCTCTGCGAGCCTCCCTCCTCGGCGAGCCTCCCTCCTCGGCGAGCCTCCCTCCTCAGTGAGCCTCCCCTGCCCGAAGCTGCGCCTTTGTCTCTTTGCCCGGCTGGCAGGTGCCCACGAGGGGCACCGGGCTCAGGTGTGCAGGACGCGGCGCCGCTCGGACGGGGGACTGCCTGCTGGGCTGACACCCCCTCAGTGATAGGACAGGGTCGGCTGGAGAGGGACGGTCTCTGCGGGTCCTTCATTCTGACCTGAATTCTCTGCTAACAACAAGCTAAAAGCCCACTGGTCAGAAAGTGAAAACGCTGGTGCAAACAGGACTCGGGAGCCACAGGGCTGCTGCCGCCTTTCTGGAAAGGGCTGGTGAGACGAGAGCCGCCTCGCCGTGGCGTGGGGAGGTGGGCAAGGTTTCGCCTTCTGTTGCTCTTGGAGAGGTTTTTGAATCGGTGAACACAGTCAGCACTGTAATTTCCTGACTTTATAATGCAGTTTAGAACTTCTGTTTTATGGAGAGTGTTTGTTTTTCAAAAAGAAAGTTTTTCCAAAATATGAAACAAATATTCTATGAAAGAGATGTGAGAATGTTGAGTTAAGCCTGGATTTGCCTTCTCATTGCAGGCTGGGCTTTACCTACCTGAGGCTCAAAGACAGTTACATGGAGATACTCAACAGGGACAGTGGCATCGAGAGGCAAGTGCCCCACGCGTTAAAATGCGCCCACGGTGACGAGTGGTCTTCGCAAGGGCTTTGAGAGTCTCTGTATTCCTGGCACAACTCGCTCCCTCCCCTTCCTGGAACGTCCTCAGGAATGATGTGGGAACCTTCTGGAAACCTGCCCGGTGGCCAGAGGGGAGGTTTGATAGTACTGAGGCCGCCTGGCCCGGACGGTGCTCCTTGGAGGTGTCGATTGGTGTCTAGTGAAAAGGCGTTTCACCATCAGATACCTGTGGGGTTGAGCCACCTAAGTCAGGTTTTACCGCAGCTCCTCGGTGTCTGTCGTGTTCTGACTCCACGTGGGGGCAGTTGAGCAGCTGCCCAGAGGCGGGACACAGCCTGCGTGTTCAGAGCATGTCGCACCTCTGAGGACAGTTCAAGCATGGATGCCTTGAGTGGCCAGTTTCACAGTGGATTGTTTTACTTTTCCTGTCTTTAAAGATCTTTTGATTCTTGGGGACTGTGTTGGTCTCCAGTGCCTGTCCCTGAGACACGTGACCCACCTGTTCTGACGCAGGAGGTTGGATGGTGCATGGCTCCTTTGTCACTGCGGGAACCTGCAGTGATGAGACGAGCAGGGACGGGTGGCCAGGGACATAGGGTGTGGTGGGGTGGTGATGGCTTCAAAAGAACTGGATTTTAGCAGTTTAATTCTTAAGGAAAATAAATTCCCAGGTCAAAGAGTAGAAGTGCCTTGACTTCAGGACTGGCTTCTGGGCCCCCAGTCCCCAGCTGGGCACCTCGCCACAGGGCACCCCAGGCAGTGACATGTGGTCAGGACTTGTTGTTTCCAATGGAGAAGGTGGCGAGGTCGCTGCCAGGCTACAGCACACGTCCGGGCCCCTCGGAGGGGGTGCCCAGCTCTGGGCCGGGGCCGATGCCGGGAGACCCTGCTCAGCTTCCTGCCAGGGTCTCCAGCCCCAAGGAGTTTTCAGAGGTAGCTGTAGGGGTTGCTGACTATTTTTGATGTTCCAAATGACACACAGATATTACAGGTTTCCTAGTAATAATGCTGCACAGGCTAACTAGAATTTCAGTCTTCTTAGCCTTTTTTATGGTTTTTATCAACTTAAAGGTTTGTTATTGGGGATCCCAAAACTCGATACCACTTTACGGTCTGTGTCCCACGGCTGTAGCGAAGTGCGTCAGTGCGTGAGATGAGAAAGGCCCACGCCCGCCAACACTGGGGCTGCGACTGGCTTGGCCTGGGGCGCGGTGAGGTCGGGCCTCCCTCGGGGGCTGCCGCTGCCTGTGAACCCAGGCTCCTCTGGCACAGAGCCTGCGGAGGGCCCCGCACGGCGGGCTGCCGGGCGTCCTCCGGGGTTGGCGGTTACACAGAGTCCACACCGAGCAGACCCAGGCAGATTCCACAACTGTCCCTGTTTCTTTTTCAGGTTTGAATTGCTGGAAATTTTGAGCTTTGATTCAGTGAGGAGAAGAATGAGTGTAATTGTAAAGTCTGCTACAGGTAGAAATTTCTTTTTCTCTTGATTTCTTAGATTATACATGGTGGTTGTGTTTTATTCTGATGGCTGAATTCTATAGGAACTTTAAAGATTTAGGATTTAAGAACCATTTATTCTTGTTTTTTTTCTAATATAGATAAACCCTTTCATGATACTTACTTTTTATTTTAAAAAATGAAGGTTTTTTTTTTTGCAATGGGTTTGCTGCCAGAACACGGGTGTTGTGAAAACAACCCCTAAAAGCCGAAACAGGAAAGGAAAAGACTCACGTGAACATCGTCATCACTGGTTGGACACGCAGACTCCGGCGCGCCCACCATGTCTGGCCGTCTGAGCTACAGATGTGGGATGGACAGAAGAGCCATCGAGAAATTGGAGGAAGAGGCTACGGAGATGGGAAGGGCTTTTTCCAGGGTGTCTGGGTCCTGGATAAGCTGACAGCTGAGTGTGACGTGGTGTCACCACTGATCTCTCCTGTGAGACCAGCAAATATCATGACTGTCCTTGATGCCCGGGACACAGGGACTATCTCAAGAACGTGGTCACAGGCACATCTTGGGCGGACTGTGCCGTCCTGGCCGTTGCTGCTCGTGTCGGCGAACGTGAAGCTGGGGTCTCCGGGAACAGGCAGACTGTGAGCACACCCTCTGGCCCACGGGCTGGGTGTGAAACAACTGACTTAGTGTCCACAAATGCATTCCACGGAGCTGCCCCACAGCCAGAAGAGACATGAGGAAATTGTTAAAGACATCAGACTCACATTGGGAAAACCAGCCACAGTCCCAACACCGTAGCATTTGTGCCAGTTTCTGGTTAAAATGGTGAGAACACGCGGGAGCCTCGTGCTACCACCCCTGGTTCAAGGGGTGGAAAGTCACACACAGACGGCGCTGACACTGGGACCACGCTGCTTGGAGCCCTGCATCGCATCCTGCCACCAGCTCGTCCACTGGCAAGCCCTGGCTCCTGCCACTCGGGACGTCCACAGAATTGGTGGGATTGGTGCCTGCCACCAGCTCGTCCACTGGCAAGCCCTGGCTCCTGCCACTCGGGACGTCCACAGAATTGGTGGGATTGGTGCCGGCCCGTGGACGGAGTGGAGACTGGGGTTCCCGCCTAGGCACGGTGGCCACCTTTGCTCCATTCATGTCACAGCTAACGCAGAGTCTGTGGAAATGCACCAGGAAGCTTTGAGCAAAGCTCTTCTAGGGGAAAATGTGGGCTTCAACGTAAAGAATGTATCTGTCGAAGGTGTTCACCGTGGCAACATTGCTGGTGACAGCAAAAATGACCCCCCCCCCCCCCGCCACTCCTCCAGGAAGCAGCTTGTTCACTGCTCGGGCAATTGTCCTGAACTGCCCAGGCCGCGCCGCCCAGGCCGCGCCCTGCACTGGACTGCCCACAGCTCATGGTGCCTGCACGCCTGCTGTGCTGAAGGACAGGCTGATCTCAGCTCCGGTAAGAGGCCAGAGGGAGGCCCTAAATTCTAGAAATCTGGTGACACCGCCATCATCAATACGGTTCCTGGCAAGCCCTTGTGTGTGCAGAGCTTCAGACTGTCCCCTGCTGTTCACGACATGAAACAGGCGGTTGCTGTGAGTTTGTCAGACCAGGGGACAAGAAGCCTGCAGCGCCGACACGGCCACCAAGTGTGTGCAGGAAACCCGGGAGGCTGGATGGAGGTCCCTGGCGCTGCCTCCCCAGCCCGTCTCAGGCAGCGGCGGGAGATGCCCCAGAACGCTTTGTCCCTCGGCCCTTTAACGTTAATAGACTAGTTAGGGTAATGATGCATTGTAAACCTGCAGAAGGAAAGGAGAATGTTTTATGGACTATTTTTATTTCTTTTTTTTGTGGCAGTTTTAAGCTATCAGTTTTTAAAATCCATATTTTTTAATGGAAACAACTTGACCGAAAATCTGACACAGAATTTTGAGACCCATGGAAACAAACATTTCTAATGAGAAAAAAAATAAACTGTTTTTAATGTTTAGGAATGAGTGCTGCGCGAAACACCCGCAGCCTTGCTTTGTGTGTCTCCTCAGTGTTGAGTTGGCATCGTTTCACTACTGAAACTGCAGGTGAACCCCTTTTACAAGCACCCTAGCTTTCCTCCACGCATATCTAAATGATAACATGTTTTAAATCATTTTCTAAGAAAAGTAATATAGACTTTTAAATACATCCGTAATAATGTTGAAAATCCTAAATGAAGTGAGCTCTGCTGGTTGTCCAGTTGCCCTAACAATGCGTCTTTATTCGAGAACAGACTTTGTCTGTGCCGTGGAGGCGGGAATGGTAAACAGCGTGGGCTGCGCGGCCAGCCCCCACCCACCGCGGGACAGCCCAGCAGCCTCTGCGCAGGAGCCCTCGCCAGCGGGTGGTCTTAAGTCCACTGGGCTCTGGGCTGTCCCTGAACCACACCGGCAGCTCCCCAGGGTCGCCGTGGCTGCCTCTCCTCACCAGGCTGGCTCCACCGAGGCCCTCCCAGAGTTGCCACCCTCCGTGGCGTCCCACGTGCGCAGGCAGACAGCCAGCCTCATCCCCGTGCTCACCCGTCACGCCCACCACGCGATGGGCCACGGGCCCCACAGCACCGCGGCCCCGCACCTCTGTTCCCAGCACTCAAGGCTCAGCCAGCCTGGCTCTTGGTCCTTGGCTGCCCCCATGACTCTCTGTGGGCCTCTCAGGACCCTGCTGTGCTCACTGCCCACTGTGTCAGGCCTCTGGCCACCGCCGCAGGCACGGCTTTCCCGGCATCCTCCCAGAGCTCCCCCGGCTTTCCGCCCAGGACGCCCCTAGCGTCTGCGGAGGTGACTGCCTGTTGCCCAAGGCAGTCCAGGCTTTCCTCCCACCTGCGTGGACTGTCCACGTGGACGGCCTTTGCAAGGACGGCCGGGAGCGTCCTGACGCAGAGCCCACGCTTTTCTGCGTGGGACTCCCGTAGCTCTCCCGCCACTGAGTGTGCAGCAAATGCCGGTAAATTCAGCTCTCTCAGCACAACTTAAAAATGGCATTTTACCAAGAGAGGCAGGATCTTGCTCTTCGCTGCTTCCCAAAATGAGACGGTGCCAGACTGTGTTTATCTCTCTGGAAAGCTGCCTGGTAAGCAACCAAGTGCAGCCCACTCTGGAGCTGAACAGGCTTGAGTCGAGAGCTTCATGTTAGCGGTTTCCTGACACTCGCAGTGGAGGACCACATTGCAGCGTGACGGACACCACGTGGAGCCTCTTCAACAGCCACTCTGACCTTCCAGCCGAACCTTCGTTTCTCTTCTGAGGTTGGCGAGGGTCGAGCAGGACACCGCAGCACGGCTCTTCACAGCATCATGCGAGTGGCTGATCCCAGAGTGTGCCACCGTGCCACACCGGCACTCTTGTGCACGCACCCCCGTGGCATCCACAGCATCACTGCCAAGTCAGTCAGCAAATGTCAGGGACAAGAGCAGGTGCCAGCGAGACTTCTGCCGACAGTCACAGGACATGCAGCAATCTGTGTGCCACGGTGCCCGTAACTCCTGCAGCGTGTCCAGCAATCTGTGTGCCACGGTGCCTGTAACTCCTGCAGCGTGTCCAGCATTCTGTGTGCCATGGTGCCCATAACTCCTGCAACGTGTCCAGCAATCTGTGTGCCATGGTGCCGATAACTCCTAGGGAGAGAGATCTTGCCAGCCAGACAAAGGGTTCTGCAGGACGGTGTCTGGATACAATTGAGGCTTCTGAGGTGCAAGAGGCCACTCCATTCTGCACGGAGAGTTTGAGCCATTCTGAATTGCCAGGAGAAAGGCATCGAATGGTGGGATTACCTTATCAATCTTCTCGTCACGTGGCTTTCCCTGTAAACATGTGGAGCCGAGTTGTTGAGCCATGCGGGAGATGCTGCTCAAGGCTGGGGTGGGGGCCACAGTGCTCAGAAGGGACGCACCTGCCACACTCAGAGCTGGCTCCCGTCATGCTCACTGATGGTCTCTGCTGTGTCCGAACTACCACGACCTCGGTGTAGATATCATGGGCTACACCATGGAATCTTCGTAAATGACTTCCACTTCCATCAGGAAGCTTTGGAAAGGAGTGCGATCACATTAAAAATTCAGGTCTGAGACATTCTCTCCATTAGAATGTTCTCATCCATCAGGAGATGTCTATAAAGTTCCCAAGGCGTCTGTGAGGAACTGCATGCCTTGCCCTCTGAAACCAGACACTGCCTCAATTAATTTAAGGCAGGTTTGGATATTTAATTAAGCAAGTTGTTCTCCCCAGAGATGTGCACTAATTGCACTGGTTCCACTTCCTGATGGGCGGGTGGGGGTGCTGCAGCCGTCAGAGCTGGGTCGCAGCCCCAGCAGCCGCCACACCTTCAGCGAGACCCACTTTCCACATCTGTGTCCCGTGATGCGTGCTTTCACGCAAATCACCGCGGCTGATTTTGAGGAAGGATTGCTGGGCTGTTCCTGCTTGCAGAGACATGAACCCGGCTTTGTGGGACGCTCTCTGCCAGTGCTCTCTCCGCCCAAGGTGAAATGTTAAGCAACTGTGTAGCACCTCACTTGGGAAGAAGAATAGAAAAGCACTAACTGCACTATCTCGGAGCTGCTTGCCAGCCACCCTGTTTTCTACCACGACACAGCCATTTCTGAGACCTTTGCTGTCATGCGTGGTTTTCCATGTCCTTGAGCTGGTGTGTGTGGGACACAGCAACAGCCAAGCCCACAGGGAGCTCGGACTGTGGTTTTGCATCCCTGACCCTTCTCCACACGCTCCAGAGAGCCCCTCGATGCTGGAATGGACGGTCTGCAGTCCCCCACCAGGCTCGCACAGCCACACAGCGGACCTGATCCCCGAGTGCTGGTCTCGTCACCCAAGCGTGAGCTGCTGTGGTCAGGACCACATGCTCATCTGCAGAGCTGCAAAAGCAGGTGCCAAACTCCTGTAGATGAAGTTTTGCTCCGTCCTCCGGATATTTTATTCAAAGGCTCTCCCTGGCCAAGTCTTCACATCGAAGGGGTCCTTTGAGGAGAACAGACTTTGTCTGTGCCGTGGAGGCGGGAATGGTAAACAGTGTGGGCTGCGCGGCCAGCCCCCACCCACCGCGGGACAGCCCAGCAGCCTCTGCGCAGGAGCCCCTGCCGGCAGGTGGTCTTAAGTCCACTGGGCTCTGGGCTGTCCCTGAACCACACCGCCAGCTCCCCAGGGTCGCCATGGCTCCCTCTTGGCCGTGGCCGCCTCTCCTCACCAGGCTGGCTCCACCGAGGCCCTCCCAGGAGTTCCCACCCTCCGTGGCGTCCCACCATGGTGCCCTCTGTGGGCATAAAGGATCTGACAAGTGGAGACAGTGGGGAAGTTAAGCCATTCACAAGCTACTCACATGCACCCTGAGGCATAAAACCTGATTCTTGGGAAAAATGTCATTGTCTAAGAACGCATCGCTGCATTACCTAGACTACAATTCTTGCTCAAAAAACATATCTGATTACGCATGAGCGTTGGTGGGATTGTGTGTGGCAGTAGGGATGGTTCTAGAATCAGACTGGTGTGACCAGTCCCAGCACCTGCTTTCCTGAGGTGAGTGGCCACCGGGAATCTGGGCCGTCAGCCCGCAGGGCGTGTCAGCGAGGGCCTCCCTGGGCAGCAGGTTCCTGCTCAGCCTGTTCTCACAGCCCCCACGCTCGCAGTGCAGCATTCCTGGCGCTGTCCTTTCTTGCCCCAGGTTGGCACTGACCCTGTTGTGGACTTCTGTGAGCATGAGTCGTGTCCATGTCCCCTCCGTCCTCCTTGCTTGTGGATCCCAGGATCGAGCGCTTCCTGGATCTAGGAAGAAGGCGAGATGGACCCCTGACACCACGCCTGTGCCCATGGGCCTCGTCCCAGCTCTGGTCATCAGCTGGATGTGCCCGTTCCCCACGTCCCTCTCCACCCACCCACCTTGGAGAGATGGCTGTGTCCGGCTGTCACCTGCTGGCTTCTGATGCTCTCTGGATTTGGTCCCTGGGATACTTCCTGTGGGCCATCAGTGCCCAGCAAGGCTTGGGGCTCTGTCCTGCTCAGAGAGCTGGGTGTTGGAGCTTCCTAGGAATGCAACTCAGGCTGCATCCGGGCCACAACAGAGCTGTGGGCCCTGTGATGGAATGTGATGGGGTTTCCGTGAGCCGTGGCACAAATAGGCCACCTGGCAGAGCACTGCATGGTTCCCAGGCCTGCAGAGTCTTTGCTTGAGGACCACCGGCCTCTGGCTGTCACGTTGGAGTTGGCATCTGTGTCTCTACCACATGCACAGAGTTGTCCTCAGCTCAGCTGGAGGAGAAACTCCTGTCTTGAGGAGTGAGAAGCATTTGCAACACAAACGTGGTCAAAGTAGTCCTGGGACTACTAGGGGTGTGAGGAAAAATAATACAAAAGACATGTCCTGTGACCCTGTGAACGCCAAGCAAGACCTGAACATCTCGCTCTGCATCAGGACGATGGCTTTCTGAGGGGATTCGGTGTTTGCCTTCCAGTGTTTTGACAAGCCGTGGCCCCCTTCTAAGCCAGCCACACCCGCCCGCGTCTCAGGCGCCCCATTGCTCCTTCGTGTCTGCTCCAGAGAGAAGACAGAGGGTTAGGAGGCCGAGTGGCGGGGAGCCAGTTTCTCTTCCAGGTTCCTAACTTGTCCATGTGATTTCTAGGGTTGTAGGAATAAAATGAGCCTTTGGGATAATCTGTAGGTTTAATTGTTTTCCTGACCGTAGCATGTTAACTGGTCCATGAACATCTTTCCAATGGTCTCAGCACTGGTATCTCTGGTCTTTGTTTTTAATAATGGCATACCTTGAAAAATAATTTAGTCTTCTCCATATTGTGATTAAACATCTTTTTCTCCCTCATTTTATAGGGGAAATTTATCTGTTTTGCAAAGGAGCGGACTCATCAATATTCCCCAGAGTGATCGAAGGCAAAGTCGATCAGATCCGATCCCGGGTGGAGCGAAACGCAGTGGTAAGACGGGACTGGGGCGGCCACCTTGTCTCCTGTGTCAGGGAGGACTCCGTGCACAAAAGCTCCTGGCTGAGAAGGTCATGCCATGTCCCCTAAGAGAGCATTCCGAAGGCAGAACGGGCCACACGTGAGTGAGGCAGGAAGCCCCTGCCGACCTCGGCTCCAGCGCACAGGCCACCTGCTCTGCAGACGCGTGCGTGTCTTCGTTTTCAGGCGGGGCTGAGTGAGTGTGTGTTTGGGGGGTCGGATCCATAAGCACATTTTTGGCTATTGTATTGGCACAGGTAGATCCGTGTCCTGAAGGATTTCTAGTGATTCGATTCAGGCATGAATTAGCACTAAGGCGGGGCTGAGTGAGTGTGTGTTTGGGGGGTCGGATCCATAAGCACATTTTTGGCTATTGGCACAGGTAGATCCGTGTCCTGAAGGATTTCTAGTGATTCGCTTTAGGCATGAATTAGCACTTTCTTCACCTACTTGGTTTTCTTTCTGTATCTGGTTCTTAAGCCTGTGGCTTGGTCAGTTCCGTAACATGAATTCCACTGTTCAGCTGGTTGGCAACGCTGAGCTTCTTACCATCATTCCGGCTTTCTCTCTCTGGCGATTGCTATGGGTGTAGGGCTGGCCTGGGTCTCACCTGCGGACCGCCCCTTCCCTAGCACAGCCCTAAAGCCAGGTGATCCTTGGTTCTTGGAGGCCTCCCTCTCCGGCCCTCATGGCTACCTTGCCCTGCGGCATCCATACCCTTCTTTCTGCTCTCCCACGGTGGTCATCAGCAAGGATGTCCTCTGGGGGTCTTCTCTGCAACTCTGGCCAGGTCCTCTTACACCTGCCGTCACCCTCTGTGCAGGTAATGACAGGCTCCTCCCAAAGGTCCAAGAGGATGTGACCCAAAGTGCCTGTGTACCATGCAATTTGAGTTCAGAGTCGCTCTGGACCAAGGCGGGTTAGCCAAGATAATCCTGGAGGAGAGGCCATGAATATTCAACGTTGCTTTCGCTTGCAGTTTCCATTTATGATCAATTTTGTCCTCACTGTCAGCCTCACATACAGCATTAAGAATTTCTTGGGTGGACAGGAACCCTGTCAGTCCTGAGACCATGCCTGCAGCGGCTGATGCAGGTCAAACCTCTCTTAAATGCTGCTGTCGGTGTCACTTGGCTTTAAGTCCCTATTAAACCACTCATAGCACCTACTGATCACACAGAGTAGCTGCCGTTGAACCAGCGGGAACCCACAAAGCAGCCGCAGGTCTGGATTGTCGAGCTCTTCTGCAGATCCTTAAATGGCAATGCCCCTAAGTCCCCCCAGCTGCAGAGGGGTGGCAGCTGTGTGCGTGGACGGTGCGTCAGTGCTCACGACGCCGCAGGGGCTCTCGTGCACAGGCGGACCGCCGTCGACACACAGCAGGTCTAGTGCAGTGGTGCGAGGGTGTCCTGAGGAGTGGCTCCATCTGCGGTCCACTTTCAAGGCCGCAGGGAGGTCCCGTTCCATCGTGCCCAGGTCGAGGCGTGACGCTGGGTGCACCCATAGTCACATGTCCAATGTGATGGGTCTCAGCAGAGGCTCTTCATGCATGCCCTGAGCCCCAAATGCTCCCTCACCTGCCAGACCCTCACTGCTGCTGTCCTGGAGAGAGTGGAGCACGCACTGTGTAGACTGTGGTGATTTTAAAGTCCGCCCGCTTCTTGTTTTAAAAAGCTTTATTGAGATACAGTGGACGCACACTAATCTATACGTATGAACATAGGTAGAGAGAATCACTTGAGGCCACTTGAGGTGTACGTACACACGTGACAACATGACCACGGTCAGGTTAGGGAATGCACCCACCACCCCAAAATTGTCCTTGTGCCTCAGTACCCTCCCTGCCACCCCCGCCCCACAAATCACTGCCCTGCTGGCATCACTGCAGATGAGCGCCCACCTTCTAGACGTTCATACCAAAGGATTCACAGAATATGTGCCATTCTATCTGGCTTCTTTCACCCCACATAACTATGTTGAGATTCATCCCTGTGGGTGCATATACCAACAGCTCACTTCTTTTTATTGCCAAATAATAGTCTGTTGTGTGGACGGACCACTGTTTTCACATCCACCCACTTGATGGATGTGGGTTATTTCCAGTTTGGGGCTGTTGTGGAAAAAAGCTGATGCGAGCTGTTTGATGGGCATGTCTGGGATGAACAGGTGTTTCCTTTCTCCTGAGAAACTTGACGTCTGGTTTTCTTGGAGTCTCTGTGTGCAGCATCTCCCTGTTCCTGCTGCCTTCTGGAGTTTTGGTTGTGATCTGCCCCGGTGAAGTGATGCTAAGTTTCTTCTGCTCAGGGATCTTGAGCGCCTTGGATCTGTGGGTTTTTCAAGTCTGGAAAGTTTTCAGTGACTGTTCTACAGACACTTTTTCTGTCACCTCTCCTTTCGGCAGTTGTGATGAGCGGCGTGCTCGACTGCTGACGTTATTCCACAGCTTGCTGACGCCTCTTCCTTTTAAAGCATGTTACCATGAGTGTCGTTTTAGACAGTGGCTGTCGCTGTGTCTCTGGTTTGCTGATCTTTCCTAGGCGCTGTCAAACCTGCCAAGGGTCCGTCCAGGTGTTCTTCCCCCGACCTGGGAGCTTTTGTGTCTAGAAATTCCACGAGTGATTTCGTACTCTCATGCCCCACTTAAGTTCGGACGTGTGTATGCAGTTGTGGTGACTTTTACTCTTTCCCTGCCGACTCCGCCGTTGGCGTGGGCTCCGGGTCTGCCGCGGCGCAGGGGCGGATCTCTGGGGCGAGGACTCGGCCTCTGGTGGAGTGCCTGCCTGGGAACTAGGCCGTTCCTGCCATCTTAGATTTTGTTCCGAGATGCAGCTGAGTTCCTCGGAAACAGTTTGTTCCTTCCAGGCAGTGCCTTTATGTGTGTCAGGTGGATCCAGAGCAGACCCGCCCCAGCACTCGAGTCTGCTGGTTGCCCTCGAGCTCCTGGCAGTGAGCTGCCCCTCGCCCTGACGGCTTGTTCTGGCCTCTGGCCGTTTCCTCACCCATGCGTGCTCCTCTGTCCTCTGCGGACACTCGAAGGGTCATCTGCTGCCTCTGGCGCCTCTTGCTGCCCAGCAGCCTGTCCTGGGAACTTCTGGTACTTACTCAGCCAACTCTCAACTTCACCTAAGTTCCCCTTGCTGTGCTTCAGCCTGGGAGCTCTCCAGGCAGTGAGTGGGGTGCTTGCAGGGCCCCCTTACCATTTTATTTTGAAATAATTGCAGATTTACAAGAAGTCAAAACAGTTGTAAAGAGAATACAGAGAAGGCTGGGCACGCTGGCTCACACCTGTAATCCCAGCACTTCAGGAGGCCAAGGTGAGAGAATCACTTGAGGCCAGGAATTTGAGACCAGCCTGAGCAACATAGCTAGACCCCATCTCTACATAAAATAAACTGAAAATTAGCCAGGTATAGTGGCACCTGCCTGTAGTCCCAGCTACTCAGGAGGTTGAAGCAGGAGGATCACACGAGCCCAGGAGTTGGAGGCCACAGTGCGCTATGATCACACCACTGCACTACAGCCTAGGCAACAGAGTGAGACCCTGCCTCTAAAGGAAAGAAAAGCACAGACGGACTCTTTTTGTCCTTCAAGTCTATTTATTTTTCCTTTTGTTGCCTGTGCTTTTGGTGTCATATCTAAGAAACCATTATCAAATCTGAGATTATGAAGAATTTGCCCCTATGTTTTTCCTTAAGAGCTTTATAATTTTAGCTCTTAAATTTAGGATTTTGGTACATTTTGAGCTAATTTTTGTATGTTTTGTAATGTGAGGGCCCAACTTTAATCTTTCGCCTGTGACTGTGCAGTTTCCCCAGCGCCATTTGTTGGAGAGACTGTTTCTTTCCCAGCGAATGGTCTTGCCACTCTTGTTGGAAATCAGTTGGCCTTATGTACAAGAATTTATTTTGGGGCTCTCAATTCTATCCCATTCTTTTCTTTGTCCTTATGCCAATTCTACACTGTTTTGATTACTGTCACTTTGTGGTATGTTTTGAAACCAGGAAGTGTGAGTCCTCCAACTTTGTTCTTCTTTCACAAGATTATTTGGCTATTCTGAGATTCCATGTGAATTTTAGGATGAGTTTTTCCATTCCTGCAAAAAGTGCCATTGGGATTTTGATATGGATTGCATTTGACTCTGTAGATAGATCTCTTTGGGTAGTGTTCTTACCTTGGCAATATTAAGTCTTCCAATCCATGAACATAGGATATCTTTTGATTATTTAGGTCTTTTATAATTTCTTACTGCAAGGTTTTGTAGTTTTCCATCTGTAAGTCTTTTTCACCTTCTTGATTAAACATATTCCCAAGTATCTATTGTAGTCTGGGCATGGTGGCTCAGGCCTGTGTAATCCTAGCACTCTGGGAGGCTGAGGCAGGTATATTGCTGGAGGTCAGGAGTTCAAAACCAGCCTGAACAGGAGCGAGACCCTGTCTCTACTAAAAATAGAAAGAAATTAATTGGCCAGCTAAATATATATGGGAAAAAAAATTAGCCATCATGGTGGCGCATGCCTATAGTCACAGCTACCTGGGAGGCTGAGGCAGGAGGATTGTTTGAGCCCAGGAGTTTGAGGTTGCTGTGAGCTGGGCTGACGCCACAGCACTCTAGCCTGGACAATAGAGTGAGACTATGTCTCAAAAAAAGTAAAATAAAATAAAGATGCTATTTTAAATGGAATTTTTAAAAAAATTTCTTTGCAAGTTATTCAGTGGTAATATACAGAGGCGCCTCTGATTTCCGTGTGTTGATTTCATGCCCTGCATCTTGGCTGAATTTGTGGGGGAAGGTGCGCACTCTTCGTGGTTTTCCAGATACAGGATCATGTCATTTGCAAACAGAGAGGCCTTAGAAAGGTCTCCTTTCTAATTTGGACCTTTTTCTTCTCTTTTTATTGCCTAATTGCTCTGGCTAGAACTTCTTATACTATGTTGACTGAGAGTGGCAAAGGCAGGCATCCTGGTCTTGCTCCTGACCGTGGGGCAGAAGCTTTCAGTCTTTGGCCATTGTGTGTGGTGTTAGCTGTGGGCTTTCCATATGTGGTTTTTATCATGTTGAGGTGGTTCTTTCTCATTTATTAAGTGGTTTTTAGCATAAAAAGGTGTTGGATTTTTGCCAGATGCTTTTCCTACACCGGTTGAGATGATCATATGAGTTTTTTCCCTCATTCTATTAGCACCATATATTAATATTACATTGATTTTCATATGTGGGAATCACCCTTGCGTTTCTGGGACAGATACCACTTGGCCATGGTGTATCATACTTCCAATCTGCTATTGGATTCATTTTACTAATATTTTAGAAGTTGAGGATTTTTGCTCTGTATTCATAGGGGATATTCTTCTATAGTTTTCTTGGGCTGCATTTGTCTGGCTTTGTTGTATATGTATCAATCCTGTTTGATATGCAGTGCCCAAGATTTTAGTGGTACTTGGGAGGAGGAATAGGGAAAGTACGACTACTATGTGCTTCCACAAGAGGGAGTCCCTTGTCTGCTCCTCCTCAAACTAGAAGACCTTTATTCCTGAAACTTCTGCTTCCCGTTCACACCAACCCGAAGATCCAGTACAGCTCAGGGTTATTATCCACATAAAATCGTTTTCTTGTTATGTGGTTTTTCTGACTTGACATTGAAGCCATGTATCTGGTCTGTGTTATTACTTCTTGGAGAACATCAGAGAATTGATTCTGCAGTTCACATTTCTATCACTGCTTGATCAACGGGTACACAAAAGATCTCATTTCAACCATGAAATATATTCAGCAAAAGTTGTTGGGTTTTGCTATGTGCTAGGGATTCAGTGATGAAGTAAGACAGGGCTGGGCACGGTGGCTCACGCCTGTAATCCTAGCACTCTGGAAGGCCGAGGCGGGAGGATCAGTCAAGGTCAGCAGTTCAAGACCAGCCTGAGCCCCATCTCTACTAAAAATAGAAAGAAATTATCTAGACAACTAAAAATATATAGAAAAAATTAGCCAGGCATGGTGGTGCATGCCTGTAGTGCAACAGAGCAAGACTGTCTCAAAAAACAAAACAAAACAAAAAACAACAGCATAAAGACAGGGCTGGCAGCCAGAGACCCACAGCCAGGAGGAGACCAGCAGCCCAGCAAGCCCCAGAGCCACTGGGTCAAATGGGAGCAGGAGAGGGGGTGGAGCCGTATCCCCTCCAGCTGCAGGGGCTCAGTCTTGGGGAGAACAGCGTTTTCCTCTGAGGCAAGTCCCTGGGCTTCTTGCCTGCTCCTGTCTGATCAGGAGATGATGTCTGGGAGGTGGGGAGCCAGGATTTCCAGAACATTCCTGAGTAGCACTTGAGACACACAGAGTGCCTCTTTGGCCCTACTCCGTCATCAGCTCTCTGTTCTCATTCTTGCTTTTGGGAGCCCCAGGGGCCACGGAGCTTTGAACCCAGCAGCCACTGAGTCTTTCAGATAAACCTGGAGGTCTGAGAAAGAAATAAGGAGAAGTGTGAAGTGTTCCCTGAGAGTTACAGGGAGTTGTAATGCACATAATGGAAAATCTTTTGTAAAATCTTACAAACCAGTATTGTCCCAGGTTTTGAAGTGGTTATTTAGGAGAATTATGATTCTTTTACTATTATCAGTGGAGCTGGGGCTGAGGGAACAGGGAATGCAGAAGGGGACACCCAGGGTCACAGCCGAACCCTATGATGCTCTGGTTCATCCAGCCAGGAATGGCGCTTCGTGACGGAGTGAAGAGGTATCCACAAAGTGCTCCTCACGTGGGCCCTGCAGTCTCGGAGAGTCTCACCTGCACCTGCTCTGGGTGGCACCATCAGAATTATGATTGCAGTAAAGAATTTGTGATTCTTAAATTCTTATTTTACTTTCCTGTTTGCCCAATGATTTTGGTAAATAACCTATCCATCTTTCTTCATGGTGTAAAATCAAACTCCCTTACAAACTCCCAATGCAAAACATGTTTACTTTAGAAATATCACTTGACACTGTCCGTAAAACTACATATTATTATCTTAAAAAAGGTTTAAATGTAACTGTGCACTGTCAAAATAAGGGAACAAAGTCTGCCTTTTGGTGTCATGGCCCTGATTTGTATTATTTATCTCCAGGCTTGCCAGTCTGGCAATGTTACAATCCGTAATGATCATCCATATTTAATGTGCATATAAAAAATTCAGGTCACTTGGGTTATAATTCTTTGGTTAGTCATTCTAATTAGAAAAATGGGATATTGAGAAAGTTATTAAAAATAATGTCTGAGTGACACTTTGCTTTCACATTAAATGCTACATTGTATTCTATAGGAGGGGCTGCGAACTTTGTGTGTTGCCTACAAAAGGCTCATCCCAGAAGAATATGAAGGCATTTGCAAGCTGCTGCAGGCTACCAAAGTGGCCCTTCAAGATCGAGAAAAAAAATTAGCAGAAGCCTATGAGCAAATAGAGAAGGATCTTATTCTGCTTGGTGCTACAGCTGTGGAGGACAGGTAAACGCATACACCTTATCTTCAGAGAGGAATAATGGTGCCACGTGCCAGCGGGGACTGTGGAGGGGCTGAGAAAAGGTTGTCAGCACTTCTGTCTCGGTCATCTGTGCTGCTAGAAAGGAATACTTGAGTCTGGGCAATTTATAAAGAAAGGTTTGTTTGACTCACGGTTCTGCAGGCTGTACAGGAAGCACAGTGCCAGAATCTCGTGGCGGAAGGTGGAGGGAGCCCGCACATAGAGGTCCCACGGTGAGGCAGGAAGCAAAAGAGGGGCGAGGTGCCAGCCTCTTCAACAGCCAGCTCTCTTGGCAGCTAAGAGTGAGGACTCATCACTCCCGGGACAAGGGCACTAAACCCTTTCCCAAGGGGTCTCCCACCAGGCCCTACCTCCAACACTGGGGATCTGGTGTCAACATGAAACCTGGCCGAGCCAAACAAGCCATGTGTAAACCATAGAACATCTGGTGTGGATGCTGGTGCTTTAGGAAGAGGCTAGTCTGTCCCCTGCATGTGCAGAGTCATGTCACGGCACCATCCGTGAATCAGATGTCTGAAATCACACTTTCCCAGAAAATAGTGAAAATAGCATGTTCACATCATGTTATAAATTGTCAAGATAAGGGGGATTTTAAAATTATTCTTTAGAATGTAATCAGTAACTGTATTCCTAAATTTGTTCCTAGTTCTTTTCAAATACAAGTATTACTTTTTAGATCTTAACATACTCAATGTATTTGTCATCACTTACTGAAGAAACGTAAAATAATAAAGCAGTACTTTGTAAAAACCACTAACCATAACTGGCAAAATTACCAGTCACAGTGTTTCAAGCACGTCCAGAGAAAGAGCGTCTAATCAGTTCTGCAGTGAGGACTGGGAGTTGAGGCTTTCTCCACCAAGAGGTGGTCCCCGGCTCTGCTGTGTTGTCTCAGAGCAGAGTAGAGGCACGGTTACAATTTGTTTTGAAGGAATGGAGAAGAGGAAAAAATTTAGAGACAGAAACATCAAGGAAATTTACTGAAAGTTTAGCTGTTGGAAGTGGTTAAAAGCATAAAGTTTGAACATCTTTGAGATCCATTTTGGTTCCAAACTTAAATTCTCATCTCTAACCCTCCATTTTCCCAATATCTTTAATAAAGATTTTCTGAGTTCGCAATCTGAATGGAGTATCAGGCAATACAGGAAGTTGTGGTTTGGTGGTTTTGTGCTTTGTTCTATTTTTAAGTTACATTCCCTCCAACTGAAAACATAAAGCACCCGCGTGAGATGCCACCTTGTGCACAGGGGTGGGCTTCAGAAAGGGAAGCCCTGAGGCCCCAGGTAGGACAGGCTTGGTTGCTGGTGGGCACTGGGACCCCAGGCATTGTCCTACTCTGACAGCTCTCTGCCTCGTTCTTAGGGAGGAGAGGGATGTCCCATGGGACAGTCTGTGCTGAGGAGACAGCTGGTCCTTGAAGGCAGGGGTGGGGAAGGGTGGAGGCTGCTGCAGGTGGGAGCTGCCTGCAGAGCACACGTGCTTAGAGGTGGCAGGGCAGATGGACTTGGCTGGATTGGGGACCTGGAGAATTGGAGAGTTAGTGCCTGGAGGGGGGCATTACAAAGTGATGATATTTGGTTACAAATTACTTCTTTAAAATCTCTAGCCAACATATTTACAAATGTCTCTGGGCATCAGTTTCCTTTTGAATAAAAATCCTAAAATTAGAGTGGTTTTTTCATCTCTAGAATACTTTCAGCTAGGACATTCTTCCCAGAATCTAGCCAGATCATTCCAGCTAGAATTTAAATCCATTCCTTTCATTCGGTACTTTATAGAAATGTGACACTTTACTTCACATGCCTATTGAATGTAAAGACTCTAAAATATAAGAAAAAAATGGCAAACCTCCAACATGAGGCAAGCATGGTTTGGATATAAGACTTTCCAAGGAGAGTGACACAACCTGGCCAGTGTCGGGGAAGTCCTTCATCCTTGGACACATTTTACAACCACTGCAAGCTTTGGTTTTCCATATATACAATGGGGTGATAACAAAGTCCTTATCCCACAAGGCTGTTGTAAGGAGGAAAGACCACCTGTAAGAGGCTTCGTGCAGGCTCTGGCATATGGTTAGCCCATGGTGCCTTTCAGTCACAGAACCACTAGTAGTATTATCAGTATTTTATATTATTTAGAGGAACCTGGACTCCAGCTTGATCAGTGGCAAACTTAGAAGAGTTTATACCAAAACAAAAGATAATGAATATTACCACCTTGGTTCCAGATCCCATCTTTGCATTGTTGAGTCTTTTTTGTTGTTGGTTATGATGGTCCATATAATTTCCTAAAATCCTCCAAGTATCGAGTCTCAGCTAGACAGAAAACTGCCGTGCTTACCAAATGTAGATTATACAGAAAAACCATTTTACTTCTTATATGTTTTATCCATATTTATCTATCAGATATTAGGAACCGTTTCTTAAAAAAAGGTTAATTCATCACTTTAAAAGCAGGTTCAGGTGCTTTATGATAAGATCATGAACAGGCAGCATTGTGTTTTTTAAGTTTGAGGGGCTAAAATATTTTCACAGCTTCACAAGTTTCTGAAATCCTTTATTTGGATTGGTCTTTGTTGGTATTGATTTTCATTTGTGTTTTGTCTTGTGCCTTCTTCCTCAGGCTCCAGGAGAAGGCCGCTGACACCATCGAAGCGCTGCAGAAAGCCGGGATCAAGGTTTGGGTTCTCACCGGGGACAAGATGGAGACGGCCGCGGCCACCTGCTACGCCTGCAAGCTCTTCCGGAGGAGCACGCAGCTGCTCGAGCTGACCACCAAGAAGATCGAGGAGCAGAGTCTGCACGACGTGCTGTTCGAGCTGAGCAAGACCGTCCTCCGCTGCAGCGGGAGCCTGGCCAGAGACAACTTCTCAGGGTAGGTGCCCCTGCCCGCCGCAGAAGGGAGTTTAGACAGAAGGACGTCCGTTTGCAAATCATTGCCCCATTGTCCTTCCTGGGAATTCAGTTCTCTCCTTGGGCATCAATACCAGAACCATCATGAGTCAAATAAACACCAAAACAAGACAGGAGCTGTTTTTTTTCAGCAATCGTGACATGTCCTTTTTTACACACACATGCGCATGCGTGTGTTCAGTCCCAAACTGCTGGGTAACAGATGCAGAAAGACGTGATTGATCGATTGATTGATAAAATATTTTGAATGGGATAATTCTCATCTGCTTCTAAGAGTTAGGGGCTCTGCAGTCAGTGCCGCAGAGTGTCTGCTAGAGGAGGCCAGGAAATGACGATGCAGGGTTGTTTATCTAAGACAGAGCGGTGTGTGCCCAAGAGCTGCTGTTTTCTAAGAATATTCACCAATTTATTCAGATATGTTTTATCCGTGCTATCCTTGATGGCATTACACTCATTATCTGTGATTAGACTTTATTTGAATCATTTTAGTTTTTTACTAATTTACTCGTTTTTTACTTTTTGCAAAAGCAAGTCATATGCAAATTTTACTGTATTAATAAAAACATATTTCCCTTCACTTGATCTACAGGATTCCTTTTAGGGATTAGAGATGTTCCTTGTAATTTTGAAACCCAGCAAAGAGGAAATTATGACCATGTTCTTACCAACTCGGGTCATCTGGGCAGAAAACCAAGGAGACCATAGCTTTGCAGATAAGACTGAGGTTAGCCAAGGAGCCCAGGAAGTCTGGGATAATGACAGACCTCTCTAGACTGCAAGGTGCTCTCCTTGTGTTCTAGAAATTCTGGAAATTACACATGAGCCCACAAGGAGAAGTGAGCATTCGCTTTACCTAAGGGAAATAAACATGTTTCATTAAGACACATGTTTAAAATGTAGTCAAGGGTATCACACTCAATAATGTAAAGATCTTATGTACAAACAGGAATATTAGTTTATTAATCCCATGGATTTGTAGCATCTGTAGATATCCAAAATATATAGTTTTTTAAAATCTACAGATTCAGTTATTGAACAATCTTTCCGATTTGTGTGCTCTGACAGACTTTCAGCAGACATGCAGGACTACGGTTTAATTATTGATGGAGCTGCACTGTCTCTAATAATGAAGCCCCGAGAAGACGGGAGTTCCAGCAACTACAGAGAGCTCTTCTTGGACATCTGCCGGAACTGCAGTGCGGTGCTGTGCTGCCGCATGGCGCCGCTGCAGAAGGCCCAGGTCCTGTCCCTCTGTCCTTTGGCTGGTGGTCGGGCATATGAGCTACTGAGAATGTTTCATTAGGGCTCACAACCCCTGATCTTAAAATGCTAGCAGGGTACCACCTTTTAAAAATAGAGACATGACTGAAATAGAGGCCAAAGCGACAGAGATTTGAAACACGGATCTTATTTTGCTTGCGGGGTCGGCTCCAGCGACTAGGGAGCGTGCCCGAGTCAGCTGTGTGGCCTCCAGACACAAGGCCGCAGAGCTGTCCCGGCGACTTCTGCAGAATAACACTGTGTCCCGATCATCTGTGGTCTACACGAGAGATAGACAGGAAGGGAACCAACATCTACTGAGCACCTGCTGTGTGCCGCCTGCAGGATGGCCTCTCGGAGGGATGAGGGATCCTGGTTTTACAAACTGAAATGACTTGTTCAAGGGACGAAGCTGGAAAATGGCAGAATTCGACTGCTTGTCTGTCAGACTCCAGACTTCTCACTCTGCCCTGTTCTTGTGGGAAACACACGCGTGAAGTATTTTTTTTGTTTGTTTTTTTGAGACAGAGTCTCACTTTTTTGCCTGGGCTGGAGTGCCGTGGCATCAGCCTAGCTCACAGCAACCTCTGACTCCTGGGCTCAAGCAATCCTCCTGCCTCAGCCTCCCGAGTAACTGGGACTACAGGCATGCGCCACCATGCCCGCCTAATTTTTTCTATATATTTTTTAGCTGTCCAAGTAATTTCTTTCTATTTTTAATAGAGACAGGGTCTCACTCTTGCTCAGGCTGGTCTCGAACTCCTGAGCTCAAGCAATCCTCCTGCCTTGGCCTCCCAGAGTGCTAGGATTACAGGTGTGAGCCACTGTGCCCAGCTGCTTGAAGTATTTTTTAAAATACTTTGGAAAGCATTGTGAAATATATTCATAGGTATCTTTCTGATGTCAGTAAACCTAGAACAGTTTCTACTTTGTTATACCACATTTTAGGTAAAATAGGCCATTTTGTCTTGAATTGTTCATTAAAGAAATCCTAACTTCTCGGATTAACCCAGTGGTTACAGTAAAACGCATTTTGCACAAACTTCCAACCCCAGCTGTAAGGAGGTGCTGTTAGCGTCTGTGCATGTGTGCGACACCCGTCTGCCAATGCCACCAACCACATGGAGCCAGCTCTCCCCTGGGTAATTTGGGAGCAAAGACTGGCAGCCCATACCTGAGAATTTACAAACATTCCATTTGGGATAAAAAATGGTTTTATTTCCTACTGTCCGCTTACACGTTTGACTCTACATAAACCTCAGACAGTTACTTCCGGAAAGTCCACTAAGGATTTCCTCTTTGCTTTCCATGTATTCCATGTTTTTTTATTTTGTTTCTCAGTAATCAATCAAATGACTTTTTTTTTTTTTTTGAGACAGAGTCTCACTTTGTTGCCCAGGCTAGAGTGAGTGCCGTGGCGTCAGCCTAGCTCACAGCAACCTCAAACTCCTGGGCTCGAGTGATCCTTCTGCCTCAGCCTCCCGGGTAGCTGGGACTACAGGCATGCGCCACCATGCCCGGCTAATTTTTTATATATATATCAGTTGGCCAATTAATTTCTTTCTATTTATAGTAGAGACGGGGTCTCGCTCTTGCTCAGGCTGGTTTTGAACTCCTGACCTTGAGCAATCTGCCCGCCTCGGCCTCCCAAGAGCTAGGATTACAGGCGTGAGCCACAGCGCCCGGCCAATCAAATGACTTTGAAAAAAGTTTTATATAAATTAATTTGTGTTTCAGTTTCTCATCTTAAAACAAGAAGGCAATGCATACATTTTCAGTATCATATCTTGAACCATTATATGTAGGCACATAAATGAAGAAAAAACTATAGAGAAAACTTGGAAATAATACATTGTTTTAAATTGTCAGATTTTATTTTGCACACAAGACAAATTTGAAAATTAAAATAGCATTAGGAACATCTTATTTTAAAAAATAGATGCTTTATACCAAATAGCTTGGACTACCTTGGAAGAGCAATCTCTAACTGAATTCAGTGTTCACATTTGTCCTTATGTATTTAAATATATCTCCCTAGTATATTTAAATATAGGAACAAAACAGTAACCAAAAGCTACACCATGTATTTCATGTCTCTACTGTCAAAGCTTTTTCAGCTCATGTTATTTTAGTCATACCTTATTACTTTTGCTTTATTTTGTTTTGCTTTCAATTTGAAAAAGATTTTACCCTGTGTGTATGGAAATAAATTGGATGAAGTAGATTAGCTCTAAGAGAACAGGTTTTCATTCCCTAGACTAACTACATCTTTGTTATTTCTACCTAGTTAATGAATAACGTAAAAGCATAAATGAAACAGGGAAGATAAATTTTGCATTTCTTTCACAGATTGTGAAATTAATCAAACTTTCGAAAGAGCATCCTATTACTTTAGCCATCGGCGATGGTGCGAACGATGTCAGCATGATCCTGGAAGCCCACGTGGGCATAGGTAAGCCGGTGGTAGGTACACCTGGCAACCAGGTTACCCTGTCGACTAGAAGCAGGCAATGTCAGAGCATGCAGGTGGCTCATGTGGGACACCCTCTGTGGGCCAGTTGTTCACTCCTGGGGATGCTCACAACAGTGGCTTCAGCATTCCTGTTTTACTGTCCCCTCCTAGGTGTCATTGGGAAGGAAGGCCGGCAGGCTGCCAGGAACAGTGACTATGCAATACCGAAGTTTAAGCACTTAAAGAAGATGCTGCTTGTTCACGGGCATTTTTACTACATCAGGATATCTGAGCTTGTGCAATACTTCTTTTATAAGGTAGGAAGGGTCTCCTTGCCCTCCCGCTGTCTCAGTGGCATACCCTGTGCATGAAGGTGTGACATGTGTCAGAGTGACTCTGCTCTGTGGGGTCATTCATCTAAAAACAGAAGTAACTGTCAGAGAGGAAGGGGTTCATCTGATTGCAGTCGCCCCCCCTTAGCCACCATAGTCAACTGAGGTCTAAAAATGCTAAGTGAAAAATTCCAGAAATAAACAATTTATAAGTTTTAAACAGTGCACCATTCTGAGGAGTGTGATGAAATCTGTCCCAATGGGACGTGACTCCTCCTTTTGCCCTGCGTTTCCACGCTGTCTGCACTCCCAGCCTGTGAGCCACCTAGGAGCTGTCTTCGTGGTCCGGTCAGCAGCTCGCGGGAAGAAGGGTGAAGACATTCTGAGACAGAGAGACCATGCACATAACTTTGATTACAATACATTGTCACAATGGTTCTATTTTATGTTGTTGTTAATCTCTGACTACGCCTAATTCATAAACTGTATCCCAGGTATGCATAGGAAAAGACAGCGTGTGTAGGGTTTGGTACCACGTGCAGTGTCAGGCCTCCACGGAGTCTTGGAACGTGCCCCCCGCTGAGCAGGTGGGCTGCTGAGCCTCGCGAGCAGCCCCTGGCACTTTCTCATCGCCGCAGAGTGGAGTGTGGAATCAATAAGAACATGTCAGTTGTGAAATATCTGAGGACAGGGCATTCTTTTATAATCATTTTGAATAATTCCTTAATCACTGTGCAGTTTAATCCTTTCCTGTTTATTCTGACACCTGCCTGCCCTTCCAGTTTCTCTTCAAGCTAACGAATTTCCCCTTTGCACTATGTCCTCAGAGCGGCCAGAACTTGGTGGCTTCCACATTATCGTTGCCGTTGAAATGAGAGGACTGTCCAAAGCCCATTCCGTGCCGCTGCGAGGCGCCCAGGGCCTGTGGGGAGGGGTTAGCCGGGCCTGCCTCGTGAGCGGCGGCTGCCCTGGAACTAACAGGCTGTGACTTCTCTTTCAGAATGTCTGCTTCATTTTCCCTCAGTTTTTATACCAGTTCTTCTGTGGGTTTTCACAACAGGTCAGTCCTCATGTCTCGTGTTAGAGTCTGTCTGGGCCTCACTGGGCCTCGTCCCCTTCCTAGGCGGGTGGCCGTGGCAGGGAGAGGGGACTTGGGGACTGTGCAGGCGGAGCCTCCACAGGGAGGTGGTGAGGAGGCCGGCGTGGAGCTGGTCTGCAGGCTCCGTGCTCTCTGGTGCTGATGCCTCTCGTAGATGCAGGCCAGGGAGCCACGTGGCCGAGACCTGCCTCCTCCAGGCCCAGGCAAGGCCGTACTGGGTTTTCTGACCCTAACTGCAAGGACCAACCTGAACCTGGGGTCCTCCGGGGTGTCTGGGCCATGCCGGCGCCTGGCCGGTGGAGTGCGCTGCATGTGTGATGTGCAGGCAGTGCTGCCCTGGGGGCGGGGCTCCCTGCACCTCCTCCCGTCACACCTGTGTACAGAGGGCCGGCAGCCACCTCTTTTCTTCAGAGGTGACCAGGACTGGAGTAATCAAAGCTTGAAGATAGTGAGCAGAGCTGCAAACTTGTTATGCAGCTTTTTTCCTTTGTCTGGCAAGGTTGTAGTGGCAGAGGGGGTAGGCCAAGGTGAGCCTCTGCCACTGTGGTTTTAATCCTAGTTCACAGCATCAAAGCTTTGGAAGTCGTCCTGGTCCTTCTACACCTGCAAAGGTGGCTGTTTGTGCATTTTAGATGTGGTTTGTGCATGTTTGTGGTTCTTTACATGTTGAAATATATATATTTAATCAAAACACTAAAAAGTTGATAAAACTGCAGTGGGGTGTTGTTTCAGCCAATTTTTTCCGTTCTCCAGACTTTGTATGACACTGCGTATCTGACGCTGTACAATATCAGCTTCACCTCCCTCCCGATCCTCCTGTACAGCCTGATGGAGCAGCACGTCAGCATAGACACGCTCAAGAGAGACCCGTCCCTGTACAGGTACTGTCCTCAGAACAGCCGACCTCCAGAGCATGGAGAGCAGCCAGGGCGCAGTGTAGTTTCCGTCAAATAAACGTCCGACAGGCATTAGCTAATACACTTGCTTCCTGGAAAGTCTTTAAACAGGAAGCAGTGTGATTTAAGTGAACACACTCCAAGTGTCAATAGGTGATTTACGTTGTGTTCCAGATGGGCCTGAAATTGTTTGCACTTGACTGTGCTTTGTGGTGGTTGTGAAGGAACCAAGGTAAAAGTGTCCCTCCCAGTGGGATCCCAGTGAGTTTATGGCCCAAACCATCCTTTATAAAACTGTTATGTTCCATCCAGTGAGGAAAAAAAAAGAGTTAACAGGTTTGATTTCAGTGTGTTCTTTTCTTATGAAAAGTTTTTTTTTTTTTTAATAGTAAGGTAAAGCTGTGTTTCTGATGTTTCAGAACTGCCCTCTGGGATCTCTAGCAGATTCCATGGGTTACTATTTTTTTTGGGTCTTTTCAATTAAACACTTATTTTTCAGATAATTTTAGATCCACATGTAGTTGTAAGAAATAATACAGCCGGATTCTGTGTGCCTGTGTTGGTCCAGTGTCCTCCAGTCAGAAACTGTGATCTGGTGTCACATTCACCAGTCTTGTTCAGATTGCCCAGCCTCACTTGTGCTCCTGTGTGCACATGTGTGTGTGTGCTTGGGCGTGCGTGTGCAAGTGTGTGTGCGTACGCATGTGTGTATGTGTGCTCATATGTGCATATGTGTGTGCATGTATGCTCGTGTGTGCTCGTGTGCACACACATGCCGTGCAGGTTTAGGTCTTCCCATGTGTGTGGTTCCCGTACCCAGCCCCGCAATCACAGGCTGTTTACTTTGCCTGCCGGGGTCTGTAGGAGCCCACTGCATGGGCTTTGCTGCCCTCATCAGAACATTTAGCCATTGTAGAAGATTATGAAGTCTTGGAGCCCAAACAATCATTGTAGGTGACTAAGGATGACAATAAAAAGGCAAATGTCTTAGTTTGTTGTGTATATTTGATAATCAAAAATAAATCTAAGAAGATAGAAGATAGGAGGAGAGTGTGATCTGTTTTAGACATGCTTCCAGAGGGAACCCTGTAAATTCTCTCTTACGAACCAGCAAGCATAAGACATCACACCATGAATTAGGGAGCGACCTTGAAGCCTTCAGTCCACAGTAATTGGAGAATGTCGGCATGTGAGTTGTACTCTGTGTTAGTTATTCAGAAGCAGAAGTGCATCTCTGCCTGTAAGGATGACAGTTAAGAACGAGAGAGGAAATATTCAAACAAAAATCAGCCAAAGACATTGTATGTAGTGAAACTATGTCCTAAGAACAATTTGCATTTGCTGCCAGAGAACACAAACGTGCTGTCTATTGGTCATGCATGGGTTGTCATGTTGAGACACAGAGGGACGGGACGGCCACTCAAAGTATGGCAGAGGTGGCCGTGCGGGGAGTGAGCCGTGTGCCGACATCACAGAACGCGGTTTTCCCCCATCTTCCTCGTACAGAGACATCGCCAAGAACGCACTACTCCGCTGGCGAGTGTTCATCTACTGGACGTTCTTAGGACTGTTTGATGCTCTGGTATTCTTCTTTGGTGCTTATTTCATGTTCGAAAATACAACAGTGACCAACAATGGACAGGTCAGTACGGGACTCAGTTTTGCTGACTTAGCTACTTGGGAATTAGCCCTTCCAAGCCCTCCATCCTTGTGTCAGAGCAGGAATGCAGCACAGCCTGATGGGTTAGATGAACGCATCTGCGTCTCTGCCTATCGATTGCTTTGAGGGACATGTGCCATTAGTGCTCCATGTCAGTGAATGCCACGCTCTGCGGACCCTTCCGCCTACTGTAAGGAAACATCCTTCTTGGGGTTTTTTAGGCTTTATTGATTTGTGTAACTTTTACAGTTCACCATTAGCTAACTAACTAGGGGGTCAGTTATATCACTCAGGCATTATATGGGCATTAATTTCATATTTAGCATGTTGTAGCATTTCTCCCCAAGCACTGTACTTAAGTATCTGTTTCCTTTGCAATGAGTAGAGTTTTCTAATGGTCGTTCAGCTCTCTGGTTGTTGCATAATTTCTGGGGGTTTGTTTTATTTGTATCTTGCTTTTTTCTTTTTGCTACTTGCTTCCCTTCCCACTCTCAGATAATGACTACCAGCACACACATGGTAAGACGATTGTGGGTTTGTCCTTTCTGTGTTTTTGGAGTGCATTACAAATGAAATATTTCTCGAAAATATTTTCAAATGTGACTTCTGTGTGCTTTGTCGGTAGAAATACTATTAGCTGCTACGCCCTCCACTCTTGTTAGAGCTCAAGCTGCGCCAGAGAGGTGTGTGCACCTTTGATCATTTGTTCTTGGTGTTTTCTCTCTGGCTTTCTGTGTCAGGGTTGCCAGTTGAGTCAGGGATGTTTTCTGAACTGACGTGATCTGTTCGAACGTCCCTCAACTTTAATTAAAGGCAGTATACGCAGGTATGTGAGGCCATTGCAGATGTGGATTTGAACACAGCACACCTGGGCAACCTGAGAGGGCCGAGAGAGGGGTGGGGAGACTTCAGAGTCCTGCCCTTACTTACATGTCACAGATTTAACTGGCCAGTCCGGTAGACACCCCACTGACGTCAGAGAAAACTCCTCTTGAGCAGCCCCTGGAGTGTAACCTACAATCAAAAATGTATTTCATTTTTTGTTTAACCTGACACCTCTCTTTTCCTCTTGTTTATTCCTCACACTGTTGGATTCAAATACAGTAGCCTTGCTACATGTCCTGTGCGTTTTGTTTACCCATTTATTTGTTTCCGTTTTCTCCTTGCTAGAAGGTGCTGTCAGCTATCATTATAACTTAAATCAACTTTTACTAAATTGACCCTGACAATTAATTAAAATCTTATTTCACTATTCTAAACTCTTTACATTTTCTAGTAACTATTCCTTGTCTAAGTTTAATTGAATAACTCCTGACTGCCACCAGGCCACTAAATGTAGTTAAACAGAGCTATGTTCCAATTCTTACATATCGTTTATAAGATTTCCCTGTGGATCAGGCTCTAAGTAGCGTTTTCCTGTGTCTTAAGAAGAACTAAGGTGCTGTGTCCCGAGAAGTGGGACCAGGACCCCACGGCCTGGCCGTGACCGTGGTGCGCCACTTTTCCCGCACAGACATCGGCCTTTCTCACTGTCAGGCTTAACGCCACGCGAAGGTTGGGAAAATTAAAGCTCATACAGATTAAGTGGCAGCACAAGGTTGGGTAACGAACTCACACCAGGTATTTGGGGCTGGATTCTGTAGGGTTAGGGTTAGATCCTCCCCTGCTGCCTCTCGATCGTTTCTGTCTCAGAGTGAGAGTGACTTCCCAGGAACACCCCAAGGAGACCAGTCTCAGGGAGGGGACACAGGTGGCCCCATCCTAGAGAGATGGCTGGGCCATTCCCGTAGTGCCTCCACAGTGCCATCCCCTCCTGGTCCCTGGGTCCCTGGAGCCCGGGCATGTGCTTGGCCCTTCCCAGGGCCTGAGGGTTCCCATCAGCTCCTGTTTCCTGGACCCTGGATCTTCTGCTCCCCAACTGTCCTGCAGGTGCCTGGAGGCCCCGTAAATCTGCATTAAGCCCAGGGTGATGCTTCTCTGTGGCGCTCTGGCCTCACCCTTGCTTGCGCTCCTGTGGTTAGCCACGCATGGGCAGAACTGCTCATTAGAATCCGACGCGATGACAGGCAGAGCGGCCAGGACAGGAAACGCAGTGGCCAACACTGTCCAAACCAGGCACTGCGGCGGCTTGGCAGCCCTCACTCAGAGCTCGAGCCCCAGCGGGCCTGACACAGCTGCCACACAACTTTCTGTGGCCCGTGGCGACGACAGGAGCCGGTGCGCAGGGGCGTAGGTGCCCGTTGGCAGGAAGCGTTGGTCCCTGGAGACACAGTTGAGAGGACACAGTTGTTCTGATGTACCAAAGCCCCAGACAAGTTCACGCCCCAAGACTTAGAGGTGTGTGCCCAGGACAAACCGGAGTCACGGCGCCTCATCATAGCGACAGCTCACCGGCTAGATCGTGCACACCACACGTGAGGACGGAGTTCAGAGGGGGAGACTGAGGTCTCCACGGCGAGCACGAGGCCAGGGGGCAGCTGGTTTCCCGCTGTGCCTCGGTATCTCCAGGGGAGTGGGGTCTCCCTGGGTTCCTGATGTTCTGGTTTCTGTTTGGGGGAGGGTGTCAGCTCACACCACTAATCCAGAAACAGTGTCAGAGGCTGGCTCTGCAGCAGGGCAGCCGTAGGCAGCTGACGATACTCCTGGTCCTCCGGTAGCGGCTGGGTAGTGGTGGCGCCCACCTCTTTGCGACAGCGCTTGGGACCAGCACACACCTTGTGAGGCTGGGGTCTGGGTGCTCTCTCCTAGTGACTGTCAGTAGGCAAGGACTCCTTTCTTTAGCATCTCAGTCATTCCATAGGAACCTTATAGATCATGTGAACTCCTGGAGGAACAAGAGAATTATTGACAGCTTTTTAAAGAGACAAAATCACTCGTAGAGTATTCTCTGCACAGATGCAATGAGCCATAATTATTTCTCATTTTCATGTCACCAATGAGAATCCTAAGACAATAGTTATTATTGTGGAACATCAGGGTATTCCTGGATGAGCACTGAAAAGTTTAGAACGTGCTATGAAAGAAGTCAGGAAATGATAGCAAGAGAACAGCTGCAGCGTGGGCTGTCGACGACGTGGGCAGAACAAACAGACCAGCGCCCTGATGGGCATTTGCGGTCCTAGCGAGAAGGGAGCGCAGGACATGCCATGACTACGACCTCGACAAAACGCAAATTGTGTTTGTCGCAGAATATTTTTACACATAAAAATTGGCCTGGGTTTGAGGGCGTTTTAGGGCAGGACACTTCCGGTTACCAGAACACTCACTCTCCGGGAGGGGTTAGACTTGCAGCCAGTGGCGGGCGAGCCTGGCGCGAGACAGTTCTGCTGGGACGCTCACTGGGCCGGGAGCAAGGCCGTCCAGTCAGGCACGTCCTCCGCTGAGCTGTGCTGTCACACAGGACTGGGTCCCGAGGAAATCAGAACCAGGAGCATCACTGGCGTGGGGCTAATGTCAGTTGGAAAGAAACTGTCTCCCTGTACCCCCTTTGAGAAAGGGGGTATGTGTCCAGGGGCTCATCCCACCTCCCCAGGTCCTGATAACTAATGGCCAGCAACTGCGATGATAAATTGGCTATTGGCAACTAACCTGGGGGCTCCCACTTGAAGTAAACAAGGCAATGAAGAGGGCGTTACAGAGATGGTTGCAGGGAGACTGTCTCCAGTGAGTGAACTTGCAGAAGAGGAGATGGGTCCGCATCTCCCAGGGCTCCTGACAGAATCCCCAATTCTGGGCCCAAGAGAGGTAGGCTTTGCAGTTATTTTCCTGTAAAAACTATACCTGTGGCCCAGGTGTCCTGCCGGACCGGGCACCAGGAGGCCTGCCTGGGCGTCCCAGGCGGGCGGAAGCCCACCCAGTGCAGGGCGCCGCAGAGGCAGGTCTGCACCTCTCAGGCAGACCGCGAGGGAGACGAGAAGCCGGTCGAGTGGCGCAGCTGCCCGGCCTTGGATGCTGCCAGTGGCACTATGTTCCTTGTTAGCAGCCTTGACGTACACATTTTGCTTTTATCTCATTTTTTTTTATTTCTGTTTTGGGATGGCCAGTGAGGGGCCTGGGGAGGAAGCGGGGAGCCGGGCTGGGGGCTGCATGCCATCTAGGCACAGAGCCGCCCTCCCCTGGCTGCAGGTTCTCCCTTTGGCAAAAACACCAGCTTCCAATCAGACAAGGCAGCCACGTGCTCCCGACGCCTATTGTCCGGACATTCTTGTAGGTTGCTGCCAAGCTGCCACAATTCTTAGAGTTATAAAGTTTTCCTGCCACAAAAGTTAAACATCGAAGAGGGACACGTTTGGTGCACTCCCCACAGGGTGTCTCACCGTCGGCTCTGGCATCTGGAGCCGGATGATTCTTCCGTGGCCCGCTGTCCCAGGTGTTCAGCAGCACCCCTGCCTCTCCACTGGCTGCCGGTGCACCTCCCCCAGCTGTGACAGCAGAAATGTCCCCAGACGTGGCAAGTGTCTCCTGGGGCAGAGTGGCTGTGGGCCTGATGTTTCCAAGCAAAAAGAAAGGGACTAGTTTTGCTCCTGGCAAGGAAATGGAGAATGAGGTAGGAAGGAGGTGTTCATGGGGGCCCTGGGCCAGTGCTCACTGCAAAACACCTGCACTTTCTCTGTAGAATTCTGCACGTAAATCTCACCCCACTAAATGCATCAGTGGACACAGACCTCCACCTTCACCTGGGTTGCATTACGGGATATAGTTGTGGGCACATTTCTTTGGTTGAAAACTAATGATAAAGAAAAACTATTTGTATTCTGCTTTTTAGTTCTTTGTAAACTAAAACTTAATTTTGCTTTAAAGCAGTACTAGGAACGTTCTCTGAGGAGCACAGTTCACAGAATCTGACAACTAGAAACCGGTCAATTCTTACATAGTATAAAAATCTCCTAAAAGAAAACAATTCTTGTAGAATAAAATTTCTAATCCATTGGTTTTTCTCTAAGAGAAGGAAGTGTGAAGGAGCAGCCCCTTTACTTTGCTTGTGTCTTTGTCTGTGGTTGAGAAATGTGTTGTTTCCGAGGGTTTGACTCGTGTCTGTTCCCACAAACGGCCAGTTTCCACTGTGCCCGGCTGGGCGGGTGCGGGGTCTGGCTGGGCCCTCCCTCTGCCCCGGCCTCTCTGCAGGTTGCTGGCGAGTCTGGTTCTGGCTGGGCTGGCTGCAGGAGGGCGGGCGGCCTCTGTCCTGTCTGTCTGCACGTCTTCCCTCCCCAGGTTTCCCAAGGAAAGCCCCCTCCCTGCGCTTCCCCTGTTTGCGCCCTGGTGTCTTCTCTAGCTGTCTGTCACAGAACGTTCTAGCAGTTGTTCACCTTCAACAGCAGTAGGGAGGTGTTTGAGTCGAGTTCAAAAGGAAATTCACACAAACTCTACTGAGTTTAACCCTGAAACCTGCAGGATAGTGAGGCAATCAGATAAATGTCTCTTCCACATAAAACCCGAAAAGAAAAAGAGGTTTGAATGTACCAAGTTTGCATCAAATGTATTTAAAAGTGGGTGTTTTTCATGCTCTGAGTTTGAGAGCGACATTTGTTGCGGCTGAGAGCATTGAGTAGGGCTGGGACCCGGGCGGCAGGAAGCTCAGAGTAGGTGGCCTGTGAGCCGGTCACCCAGGCACAGAATTTGCAGAGGAGACGCTGCCAGGACGCCGGGCCCTGCTGCGCTCCTGGTGTCACCGTCTGTTTAGTGAGAAGGAAATGCAGTTCCCCATGAGGTGTATTTTCTAAAACTTGTTTTGGCTGTGAAAGAGGGAAAATACATAATAACGAGATTATGTGGGCTGTTTTTCCCAGATATTTGGAAACTGGACCTTTGGGATGCTTGTGTTCACGGTGATGGTGTTCACAGTCACGCTGAAGGTAAATGACTTCAAGTCCACATTTCTCTGCTACGTGTGGGTCCCACCCCTCTGAACCCCCTGAGTCACAAATCCACACCAAGGCCAGAGATTCCCTATCCCTGCCAGGCCAGCCTGGGCTGTCCGGCTGTCCTCAGTGTCACCTCCTACATTTAAACAGCCAGTGGTGGCTCAGCTCACCTGGGGAGCCAAATGCAAACTTTAAGAATCACACTGAAGGTGGATTGAGGAATAGGTCCCCATGTTGTAAAAGAATTCGGGTTAGAATTCTCATAAATGGCCACTGGTCCTACCCCTAGTATAATCAAAATGCATTTTAATTGGAACAGATTAATGTATTTTGGAAGATTGAGCTCTTTTTAAAGTTGAGTCGATTAGAATATCATTACGGAAGTCTCCAGACCTATCAGAATGAGTCTTAAAAAGTGACACAGAAAATTCCTGAAGGAACTCTCTTGGGCAGTAACATGGATGGAGCCATGCCTCAGTCTGCAGCCCTGCGGCCTCCCCAGGGTCCAGGTGAAGGTTTTGGGAAAGCTGTCACTACAAGGGCCACCACGTCACAGCATTCCTCCCCTCCACTGACAGTAGAAGGTTCTGTTCGTCTTCCTGAGGAGTTTCCCGTAGGCATTCTGTCGTCGTCGTGGGTTTTGTGTTTGTTTTGTTGTTCGTTCCTCTGGCTCTCCCTCCCTGCCCCGGCGCACACTGGCCGCTCGGGGAACCCACTGCTCACCACCTCCTCCTTCTCTCTCAGCTTGCGCTAGACACACACTACTGGACCTGGATAAACCACTTTGTCATCTGGGGGTCACTGCTATTCTACATCGTCTTTTCCCTGCTCTGGGGAGGAATCATCTGGTAAGAATTTGCCAAGCATTACATGTGGTTTGTGCCTCCTCGTCCTGCCCTGTCTCACTGGGGGTCAAGCGAATGCCCCGTACAGCCCCGATGGCTGGGATCGCTTTGGTGAACGTCTCCGGTGTGCAGGGCGTCACGCCTGTCCCTGGGGAGCAGTGGGAGCCAGACCTGAGGCTGCTCCTGTGACCGGCATGCTTGGGGGAGACAGACCTGCCAAACAGCACTGTGTACGAGCGAGCAGTTAGAGACAGATGGCACACCGTGCCAAGGGGCCTATTTCATATTGACAGGCTCAAAAAAGTTGTCATTTAAACTGAAACCATAAGAAAATTACCATCATTGCAATCTGCTGGGCCATATCTTGATGAGACCAGCCTCGGTGCCAGTGGGCAGGACTGGGCCGTGGCAGCCTGGCTCTGGGGGCAGTGTCTCTGGCTCCAGGAGTGGGGTCTCTGGTTCCAGGAGTGGGGTCTCTGGCTCCAGGAGTGGGGTCTCTGGTTCCAGGAGTGGGGTCTGGCTCCAGGAGTGGGGTCTCTGGCTCCAGGAGTGGGGTCTCTGGTTCCAGGAGTGGGGTCTGGCTCCAGGAGTGGGGTCTCTGGCCCAGCAGCAGGTTTAGGGCCCTGCTGGGGCCTCAGAGTGAGCAGCACCAGTCAGCAGGAGGGTGCTGGCTGTGGTCTGATGGTGAGCTGGCAGTTAGCTGACAATCACAGGAGGGTGCCATGGGCCTGGCAGCATCACGTTGCTCTTTTACAAAGACCAGGCTGGCTGCGCATGAGGATGAGCTGGCAAGCGCCACACAGACAGGTGGTCAGCTCTGAGATGGCCGTGCTAAACCGGTCAGGAAGGGAGGCTGGCGTGATCAGTCTGGGAGAAAGCCACATTGATCTCAGTGCCCGCACAGCAGCCTTTGCCTGGCCTGTGAGCTCCCAGGCTTCTGGCGAGACCCCGGGGCTCATACTTCTGTGGCAGCACTGGCTTGTACCCATGACACCCTGTGCACGGAGCCTTCTCGAAAGCGGATCTCCTGAGCAGGGCTGGAGCTAGGGCCTCAACCCAGACCCGAGTCCCCTCCCACTAGGCAGGCTAGCTTCACCCTGGTCCTGCCTGGCCATGGGCCAGGCAGTGTCTCCTCCACTCCATGTCTGCAGCATGGAGCACGGCACCCAGGAGAGGGGCTGCCTCTGGACGTGGCACGAAAATGCCCCCACCCACAGGGCGCTGACCAGGCTGCACGGCTCTCCCTTCCCCTGGTCAGCTGGTAACCCAGTGGCCAGGGGACGCATCACACGGTTCCTCCAGCCAACATACTAAGAAAGGCACTGTTGGTGGGTCCTGGCCAGCTTGCCCCTCCTCTGGGCACTTGTGCCTTATGTGTCACTCACATACTGTGCCCTAACGTCCTCTTTCCTTGTTCACCCCAGTCTAGCTGTGTGTCCTTGGAGGGAGGGGCTTTGTCTCTGAGCCTCCAGAGCTGCGCGGAGGGCCGTGCAGAAGTGTGGGGTGACAACGTGTAAGGACGGGGCTGCACTGAGCCCGGCAGTTGCTCGTCCTGCCGGCTTCCTTCACAGAGCCCCGCATGGGAGTTTCTTGGAGTCGGTGGTGTCCTTGGTGGGAACGTCGTGCTGAGCTCTGAGCAATGTGTTTGATGGCATGAGCTCCAGGTAGTCGCCCGCACTGTGAGTCAGGGCACTGCATGTCTTTTCCGTGTTAATAAACATCGATTGGATCAAGACCTCAAGATAGAAGAACGCCACTGTTTTAATCTAAACCTTTCTTTTGCTGCTCAGAAACCAAATGTCGGGGCCTTATCTTTGCCTTGGAGATGACTTGGTGGAATCCCTTCTCCCGTTCTAGCCGTAGTACTCCAGCGTCACGGGCTTGGGGGGGTCCACATCCCATTTCTCATGTGGTCAATTTGGAGCAGGTGGCTAAGCAGCTTCCCAGTGACTGTCAGTAACAACTACCATGACTCCCAGGACAAAAGGCCACCTCGAGTGAGCAGGAAACAGGTGTGGTGTGAGTCTCTCCTGCTGACCTGCCATCTGTGTTCCGCCTGCCTCCACCCCACAGGCCATTCCTCAACTACCAAAGGATGTACTACGTGTTCATACAGATGCTGTCCAGCGGGCCCGCCTGGCTGGCCGTCGTGCTGCTGGTGACGGTCGGGCTCCTCCCCGACGTCCTCAAGAAAGTCCTGTGCAGGCAGCTGTGGCCGACGGCGACAGAGAGAGTCCAGGTATGGAGGCGCTTCCCCTGCTGGGCTCTAGTTTCCTAGTTCTGAGATTGGGGAATGCTAATTATAAAAGATAGTAGAAAAGATTTGGATTTCATAAAAATGTGATCAGTCCAAGTATGACTAATGACTTTTATAATGATACATGATTTTAAACATTAAACTGGGTAAAATTCAAGATGACCAATGTTTAATTTTAAGTTTAGACCTAAACAGTCATCTGCAATGATAAAAAGAATGAGAAGATTAATACAAAAACAATTTAAATCCAAATTTTTTAAATTAATCATTACTTTATAAAGGCTAAATTACATAATTTTTAAGGATGGTAAGTTTGGCTGCAAACGTTAGCCTTTGTATTAGGAGACACCGGGCGCTGGTGGGGCTGCTGTCCACACTCCCAAGTCTGGCCACGAGCTGAGCTCTGGCACAGGAAGGGGGTGGCCGGTGCACAGTGCCCGTGGTGCAGGCCCGGCGGCGAGGCCCGCCTTGCTGGCCCCCGCCCCCAGAGCAGCCCTGGCTCTGGCTTCACGCTCTGTGGGGCTGACAGTGGGTGGGAGGGGAAGCCACCCCAAAGTCGGTGGCCGGGACCCATTTATTGCCCTTTCTGCTGACTGTCCGCTGGGGACACAGTGGGAAAGTTCTCACCTGGTAGTCCAGGGCACACCTGTGTCGCAGTCCATCAGGAGTTTATGCAGACTTTTCAGGTTCCATCCCCTGTAATCTCCAGTCGTTCTGTGAGAGGGGCCTCGTGCCCCGTTCTCCGACGCAGCAAGGGTTCATTCTCCGTGGGGCACCGGCTGGTATTTGGGGTGGAAAACAGGTAGCTCTGCCTTGGGTTGGCACTGCCCCACCTACCCCGTCCCCAGCACTGGGAAGGGGACCCTGGCTGTAGCCCCTCCCGGGGCTTTGGGGCTAGTGTAAACTGTGCAAGCCCCAACCCCAGCCCTGGCACCGGGCCCCCCACGCCTCCAGCCAGCAAAACCTCCGGACAGAAAGGCCGCTTCTCAGCGACAGTGAGAACGTCCACCCGTGATCCCACCACACCTGTTGAATTAAAGTGATATAGGACAGGAGTGTTTCTAGGGTTGGAGGCCTCCCCTCCACCCACAGGTAGGAGCAGGGACACAGGCTTCTCACTGCCTCCGGAAAGTCCCACCGAAGGTCCCCGCCTGGGCACGGTGCGGCTAAGCCCTGCAGGTGTTAAGGGGACGGTTCCGTCCGGGCTCCCTGCGGCTCTCGCGCTACCACAGACCCTCTGGCCCAGGACGGCCCCTGCACAGCCACTTTGGAAGTGCCAGTGAGGACCCCTCCCCTCCCCCCTTCGCTTAGGAGTCCCTGTATCTGTGTCCGGTGAGGGTCCAGCAGCCCCGCTAGAAACCAGCCAGAGGCGAAGCCCAGCAGGTGTAGAGCAGGACCCCGGGCCCTCCCGGGGAGGACGAGCCACTGAGCGCCCGCGTGTGCGAGCCTTTAACCAACTCACCGCCTCTTTTGTTTCTCTTTCCTTCCTCGTTTCCCTTCGCCTTCCAACCTGCTTTGCCTAATAACCACCTTGTCCCCCGCCCGGGACTGGCAGGCTAAGAACCAGTGCCTTTCCGCGGAGCAGTCAGCCATCTTTGTGCTCTCTCAGACTCCCGGCAGTCTGAGTTTCTGACGGAACCAGGTGACGCTTCTCTGCCTTTTTGCATGTTTGGGACGATGGTCTCAGGACAATAGAGGGCTGACATGTATCGCCAGAGCGGCTGAGTGACATGCGCTGGTGTCATTGGTCATAACAGCCACATTAAGAAATGCCGTGACCGCTTGTCTCTTGAGGCCCACACGGCGCTGTGGGCTGTGTCTCCCACCCGCAGCGGCATCTCTCTCGGTGCCCCGAGAAGCACCAGGTCCCACCTGTGACGGCTCAGCGCCGTGCCACACGGGCTCACGTCGCCAGGCCGCTCCCGCACAGGAAGGTGTGGATGTTTGCGGCTCTTGAGTCACACGGGCCCTGCACAGCTAGCACACGGGTTCTGCGCAGCCCGCAGACACAGTCATGAGCCCCTTGCCACACGCTGCCCCTGCGCGGCACCCCTTCTGCAGGTGGGGACAGGACACGGACGAGGGTTTGCTGGGCCACGGCACCGCAGGGAAGGCGGCCAGGCTGAGCCTCGCAGCTCTGCACCAAGGGGAAAGACTTGATTGTTTTTACGAAAAGCTTCTAATTTTCTTTAAATGGCTGCAGAGTGTTCCCCGGCGATGTAGCGCCATCTGCGGAGCACGCAGCGTTTTTCTGAGGCAGCCGCTCAGGATCGAAGCCGCCTCGCCCAGGGCCAAGACTTCAGAGGACGGGCGTTGCCTAGAGGTGGCGTCCTGCCTGCCTTCCAGGTGTTTGTCCGTGCACCTGAGTGCCGCGTGTATGTGTGCCTCAAGACGAGTGTGTTGATGTCACTGTTTCACCAACGCGGCACAGAAAAATGCCTAACGCAAGAAAAACGCTTTTTCTTTTAATAAGAGTTCATCTTCTATGTATTTTAAACACTATTTTTAAACTAGTAAGACGGTACATTTTTTAAGTCCAAGTAAGTAATGGCAGTCAAAATTTTTCCAATTTGGTGTCATCAGAATTTGTTAGAATAAATTACATAATTTCACCTATTTCCACACTTGAAAACATTTAGGATGAAATTATTAAGAACACTTGAATAAGTCACAAGAGGTCCTTAAGAAACTAATTAAATCATGCCAACTCTGGGCGACAAATAAATATTCTGAATACTGACGCAGTTTGTGAGGAGCTGATCCGCTTCTGAATATATGCGGACAGGCCCTGGGCACCAGCTGCCTGGAGACGTCGCTGAGGTGTCTGGGGCCCTGGCTCTGGCGTGACGCCGCGGCACGGCTGCACCCACACGGTCCTGGCACACGCAGGCATTGCTGTGGTGCTCAAAACCACCCGGAGCTCTGCAAAACTTTGGAGGAATAAACATTTCAGGAGTCCTTACGTTAACATATTTTACTTCAAATGGATGGGGTTTTTTTTCTTTTAACCTCTCCCTATTTTTTTTAAAAAAGTCACAGGCATCAGGTATATATATTACATATGTGTAACATATATGTAATATATGTGTGTACTTGCATCTCTGTCTATCTGCACTTCTGTTTATATACAATTTAATTCTACATCGTGCCCCCCTAAGTAGCACTCGGGCCTCACTGGACACTGGCCAGCTCACACCTGCAGTTCTGTGATTCAGCCTTGTTCTTCAGCTCTTAAAATTCCCTTGTTCCTTGCTACTGAAAAACTAGGAAGGCTCGACTAAAAAAATCTCAGTGCTCGGACACCTGGCCCACCCACCTTGGAGCCCATGAGTGCATTGGCCTTAGGGTGTGGGGCTGGCGGGGACACTTCCACCTGGTAGGATGGGACAGTGGCTCTCCCAGGGCACGCTGGCCCCCTCTGTGAGGGAGCTGCTCGAGGCTCCTCAGGCCCACTGTGGCAGGACTGTGGCTTTGGGATTCTGGAAGTGCCCAGTGGACCTTCCAGCAGGCGGAGCTTGAACCCCCTGCCTCGCCCACGGGGGCTGGAACCTGTTCCACGAACCCTGTGCCGCCTCTCAGTCCTTGGGTGTAGGTTCTTCTTGGGAACAGTCCTGTGAAGAAAGTGGACTGTTGCCTGGCAGAGGCCTGCCCGCCCCTGCTGACGGGCAGCTCCGTGACAGCCACCTGCAGAGTCCTGTCGGTGGGGCCACAGACAGTGCAGGTCCGTGCCACCATGGCCTGGGGCAGAGGCCAGGAACGTGCTTCTGGTGCTCGCGGGCACTGGCCCGACAGCCGCTGCCTCCCGCCGCGGCGGCTCAGTGTCTCTCCTCGCCCTTGCAGAAGAGCGCGCAACTCAAGGCGCCGGCTAGTGCCGCACCGAGCAGCGACGGGCCACTTCTGAAGGACCTCTTACCGCGGCCGAGGCACGACTAGCTCGACCCTAGGTAACAGTATGGCCGCTGCCGCCTGGGCGCTCGGCTGGTGTGCTGTGACTCTTTCAGACTGTCTGTTGTTCCTCCAAAGTTTTGCTGTGTTGTGCCACTTTTGATAACTAAGTTTCCTGATGAGAAAAGAACAAACTCTTTACACACATGTGCCTTTGCTGTCCCAGGTAAGTCATGGTCCTGAGGGTGACCTGCCCACGTGTGGAGCACACTTCAAGCACACACACGTGCACACACACACAGCCCCATAACACACATGGCAGCGCCCTCAGGACACACATGCACACGATACAGCCAGACTGGCTGTGTCCAGACAGTCTCACGCCTGGTCCTTCGAGGGGGCTGCAGCTTCGCTTGGCAGGCTGTGGGGACAGATCCTATTTTGAAATCTGAACTGGAATATGGCGTGGTTTGCACTGAACACGGTGTGAGTCCACTGTCTGCCAGCGTGTCCCTGGCAGCAGTCCACTGTCTGCTACCTGCGCCCGTGCGGTGTTGCAGACCCAGGCTCCCAGTCTGGCCAGACACTCTCATGCCCCGCACGGACTCGGCCTGCTGCCCCCATCTGGTTAAATCTGTGGGTGCTCCCAAGAGCTCTTGACCCCGACGAGCTGTTCATAGGAGTCGTGCAGCCCCCCATGTGTGGAGACGTGAAAAGTAACAGGCAGGGACGTGAGCAGGCGTGGTCAGCGCGACATTCACCACCTGCCCTGGGTGGTGGGTTAGTGTTTCACGTCCGAGGGTCTTTGGGGCCTGTGAGCTTTCGCTGCACGTCACAACAGTTACGGGGAGAAGCCTTGTGTGCCCTGTCCATCCTTCACCCTGCCCCCTTTGCTCTTCTCTGGGACGGTGACCGCTCACGCACAGGCGCCCTGAAAGGCGTGTAACACCTGTGTGCAGAGTCACAGCGCCTGTGTGGCCTTTGCGGTGGGGGGGCCTAGCCCGAGCCCCACCTGTCGTGCCGTCAAGACGACGTCCCGCCACTCCTGCAGAAGCCGTAGCAGGTGTTGCCTCGGGAAGTGGCTCGGGTCAGCGTAGGTGCCCGGAGCTTCCTGGACCGACGGTGTCGCGTCCTCTCAGCAGGACGCGGTGCACAGAGTTGGGGCTGCGTTTCAGGACTGACCCCTCTTGTCTCTCCGCAGAGCCCTTGTCCCACGGCCGCCCGCCGGGGCCCCCACCCTCAGGAGGTGGCGTTCACGTTCTGGAACAGCGAGGAGTACGCCACGCTCCCTCCCACCCTGGGCCCTGCCCAGGGCCCTCGTGGTTCCAGCCTGAGTCGCGGCTGCCCTGGGTCCGGCCCGGAAATGCCGGTGTGATGGACGCGCCTTGGCCCGCCCTCAGAGCTGAGCTCCAAGTGTCCCTGTGTGCGTGTGACTCTCCTGGTCCCCAGCAGGCAGGGAGGGGTCACAGACCTTGCCCTTGGGTGCAGCCCGCTGGCTGTCACTACTCCCACGCCTGGCGGCTCCCAGCCTTCAGCTCAACTTCAGAAGGGACCAGGGCGCCTGCGCAGCCATCCTTCCTGCGGCTGTGGAGGCCGCCCGCCTGCGTGTCTGCTCCCTCTTCAGCGTTGCTGCCCCAGGAGGAGGGCCGGCGCCTGGCCCACTCGGCTGCCTGGGCTGTCGCAGGCATGGCGGAGCTGCCACCCGGTGCCTGTGGCACAGGAGAGCCGCAGCAGACCGCAGGCGGTCGTGTCTGCCCCACCAACACAATCCGAGACGGGCTTTCCCTCGGGTCACATCTAAGCCACCTGACCCATGTGCTGGGGCTGTCTGAGGGCCTCCCTCCCCCTTTGACCACAACCGCTGCACCGTGAGACGGCCTCGGCAGCGGGGCACAGGGAGGCCGTCTGCCACACGTGAGGACGGAGTGCCCGTCGCCTCGGCCTGGACCTGTTTGCTGCAGGGGTGTCGGCAGGGCGGTGGTGTGGGGTGCTTGGCTGTGATGGGCAGACACCCTCTGTCTCCACAGAGAGGCGGCCCCAGCGGTGGCGTGTGCATCCAGGAACCTGCTTCCGGCTGACGGGGCGGCCCCAGGATGGCCATGAGGTTCTGACAAGCACTGTCACCCGGAGACCGCAACCTGCAGCTCCCCACGCCTGGTCTGCGCTTCCCACGGGGCTCTCTCTGTCTCGGGACTGTCCGCTGTGTATGCGGGTGGGTCAGCGGTCAGAAGGCTGCTGCGTCTTGAAGTTCCTCTTCCTTTCCGTGCCGGTGTCTCTATTTCTAGAAACCATCTCTTTGACGTAGCCTTAATGGTCTAAAGGCAACATTTCAGTGTGAGATTCAGACTCCGGACATTTAACTGATGCTTTCTGGAAGAGCATCTCCCAGACTCTGACGGAAGGCCAGCGCCTCGCCCGCAGCCAGGCGTCCTGCCCTGAAGCCGGGCTCTGGCGCTTGAGCTGGGTCTGTTTCTAAGGACTTGGAAGTAGGTGTTTTTGGAAGTTCAGATTTCACCATTGGATTAATATTTCACTGAGAAAATATTTATTTGAAGAGGGGACAAGTCTACAGCAAGAACAGCAAACACAGCAGTTGGGGTATATCGAGGTGACGTACGAGCACCACACCAAAGATTAGGATGGTGCGTGTGTGGTTGGCACAGAGGAGGGGCGCCCATGCCTGCCTGCCCTGGCGTCCCCTCCACCCGCGTGTGCTGCCGTGCTTGGTGCCCGGCCCACGCTGACCCCGCCAACAATGGTATATGCGTTTCTACAGCCCTTTTTAAGCGCCCAATGTGGGTATAAATGTAATACCTGTTGGGGGGCAGATTCTCTGTATGTTCAGTTAACAAATTATTTGTAATGTATTTTTTTAGAAATCTTAAAATTGCCTTTGCACTGAAGTATTTTCATAGCTGTTTATATCTCTTTTATTCATTTATTTAACATATTGTCTAATTTTTAAAGTATGTTTTTAAAGCTTTCATTTTTTAAGTTTATGAAATTTTGGCCACCACATTTAAATTCTGATGTGAGTTTTGGCTGAATGTTTCATTCTCATGAATGTGAATTTTCAGATCTGATTTTATTCTCCACATACACCTCCTTGTTTTGTGGTTTCTGGTGCAGTGATTAGTTGAGCAGCATGTTTGGAATACACTAATTTGCTATGCTTTTTCTTCACAGTTTGTTGTAATTTCATCAGGTTTTTTTAAAAACTTAATCCCCAGTGTGATTAGCTTTTTGGTTTTTGTTTTTAATGTCCATCCTTCAGCCTTAAAAATAGAAGATTCTTGCTTGACAGTCTAGTGAGCTGCACCCCAGTCCTGCCTGTGCCGAGACAGTACCATTTACCTCTGGCGACACCCGTCTCAGTGTCAGAGTCACTACACTTCACACGCTCCGAAATGTCTTCCAGAAAATTGGGCAGTTATCAAATGAATGTGCCTGATCATTTTAAATGGACAAGTGGCACAAGATGGAAATAAAAGTATTAGAACCACCTCAGTGAAGTGACATTTCAGATGCGATTTAATGCAGTTTTCCACCTCATAGTAGTTACTATTTACTTGCCTTAAACTAACTTTGAAGCAAGTAGTGTCAGCGTCACATTTCTTAGTTTTGAAACTCCTACTCACTACTGCCCATGTGAATAAACCATTAGCTGCATTGCCCCGTTGTCAGACCTGCCCTGACGCAGACCGTCCCACACGCGTGAGGGCCTGCCGCATCCATGTTCTCCGGCTGTCAGCTCCACATTTGCTCATGCTCCCACCCACTCACACTCATGAAGCTCCTTCGCACATACGTGTGCATGCTCCATGTCCTTCACGGCACCCTGCCTCCTTCAGGCCCTGTGAGGAGCCTCTGGCTGGGCAGGGAAGGTAGGGCTCCCCAGACTCCCACCCATGGAATAAAGAGGTCCCTCCTGGCAGGACGGCCAGGTCTGTGCAGCGTGGCCAGGGGCTGCTCTGGGGCGAGACTCGGCGCCCTGGATGAGGCCCTTTCTCAAGGGGAGGTCTAGCTCCCCTGAGCTCAGCCGTGAGGTGAGGCGGGCACAGCAGTGTCTGGCCAGCTGAGGCAGGGTGTCCCTGGGACCCCAGTCATCCCGTTCCTGCGTGTCTGAATGGATGCAGTGAGCAAGCCAGCCACACACCCACGGCCCAGCACCCCTGCCATCCTGGGATGTGGTGCCAGCGCCTCCAGGAACAGGAACAGGCCCGGCGGGCGGGGTTTGGCTCTGTGGCTGTGACTACAGGCAGCCAGGCTGCATGGAGCTGCTGCGCACTGGCCGGGTGTCCCGGGTGTCTGAGGGAGGCTCCCCGAACCACAAAGTGTGTTTTGCGCTGACTAGCATTGAAGTATTGCAACCACTTTTGTTTCACCTTAAAATGATTTATTTGAGGACTCGGTGTAACAGCCTGGTATGCAGCAGGCCCTTGCATCCTACATTGCTTTTGCAAGTTACCCATTTGTTATTTGCAAAACAGGAAAAATATCAGTTGGCAAATGCAATCTTTTTTTAAGCTAGAGGTGGGTGAACAGGAATTTAACTCTCTGATATTGTATCTATAAACAGCTTTAATGGAGGTATGTTGGAAGTGTCAGGAAAGTGTCTACTTTTGCAGAAAAATATCTAAAGATCAGTTTATATAGCTTTATTTTTTATCTTATCAAAAGTATACAGAATTTTAATATACATATATTGTCTCTGACTGAAAATTATGTGTCTGCATTACCATTTAAAATGTCTATTCATTATGTATTGTAAAGGAAAGAATCTTCAAAAATGTATTTAACATGAATGGTATCTGTAGTTGTCATTATCATACATCCTGGAATTTATTTTTAAATTATTAAACATAGTAGGTGCATTTAACATAAGTCAGCCTCTAAACAGCAATGTTTAACTGGTAATTCATTAACCTGCTTTGAAAAATTAAATTGTGAATTAAACCAAATCTGACATTTCTGTAAAGTTTATTTTGTATGCTTCTGTTTTTAACTTTTTATTTCTGTAGATAAACTGTGACTTGGTAACATTAGTTATATTGGACTTTTCTGTAGATTGTCTAAGCAAGAGACCTGAGTCTGCTTGCAGTAAAGAAACAAATCTGCTCTAGCTTCTTTATAAATAAATAAAATCACCTAAGTTTCGCCGGCATTTCCTGCTAATACAAACCGTGGAGTGGGAACACAGTCAGGTGTGCCTGGGGTGAACGTAAGAGTCCTGTGTGGCGGGGTGGCCTCTCCAGCTCCCCCAAGCTGGGGGCAGGGGCGAGGCCCAGGTGCTGACCGCCCCGCCCAGAGGCCAGGGGTCAGGAAGCCCAGATGGGGTTTGTCCACCTGCGGATGGGCCCACCACGAGCCCTCCTGCCAAGACCCGGGCTGGGTGCACTTCTCCCTTCCTCTCGTCCAGACTCCTAGGGGCCGGCCAGTCTCTGGGCTGTGTTGTCCAAGCCCCATCTTGCCCACCGAGACCTGCCACCACTCCCACCTGGGGAGGGCTCTGCGCCCTGCCTGAGCCAGGAGCCCGCCTGTCTGCTCCAGGCCTCCTGAGGGCCTGGCCATGTCCCCAACCCAGCTCCCTACCCAGCCTGGCCAGGGCTGTACTCTGCAGCCTCATGTCCTGTGTGAAAACACCGCCAGTCCGATTCCTGGGGTCCCGGGACCCCAGGGCTGAAGACCTGTTTGAATCAGTAGCTTCATCGTGCCTGGGGTTTGGGCCCCCTCTCAGTGCACTCACTCATGACTTCCCTTAGCTCCGGTGCCACCTGGGAGCACGCAGGGAGGCCCTGGCTCCGAGGCTGGGATTCTGGACGGGGGCTTGTCCTGGCCCTGGAGCTCCGCAAAGTCCGAGCTCCTTTTGGTCCTTTGGGCAGCTCACAGCACACGGAGATGCTCTGGAAATGTGTTCAGGGAACAAACCTTCAAGTCTTACGTGCTTTGCTCTCTCTCCACTGTTTTCTTGTAGTTGTTCTGTTTCTTGCCCTCTCAGTTGGTTTGCCGTCCTCTTTCCGCCCAGAGTCTGAGTCCGTCCTCTAGCACAACCGTCTTCCTGTGAGCAGCAGGAAAACAACTACTGTGCCTGTGTCCGGGGGAGGGGCTGGTCCCCAGAAGTGGCCGCACTTGGGTGAGACAGGGCCCTGCCTTAGCCCACTGCACGCAGCCACGGCTGCGGTGAGGGCCGCCCGGGGAGGCAGGGAGCCTCCCCGTGGGGAGGCTGGGCCAGCGACCCCCAGGAGCAAGGTTGGAGGGGTGCCCTCCAGCCACTGGCGAATCCTGCCTGTGCCAAGGACCTTCTGCTGGCCGCAGCTGCTGAGCCGCTGGGGACCATGCTCTGTGGAGACAGGACCTCTCATGACCCGTTAGGAGGCGCCATGTGGCACCTAGGACCCCAAGGCAGACCACGAGCCACACAGACACGAATGGGAAATCCTCTGTGTGCAAGGCTCATCCCGGGACAAGTCGAAGGTGTGAGGCTTCGGGTGGCGAGGCTGTGCCCGCTACACTGGCGCTAGGACTTCCCAGAGCCTCTGGCCGCCACCTGACTACGCCTCCGCCCGCTGCCTGCAGGTGAGAACGGGAGTTACAATGCGGGTGTTACGACTCTGATGAGAAATAAGGGCTCCCAGACAGAACAGTAATTAGGGTACATATTATCCTTTAAAATTTACTATATAAAACCAAACTCTGAAAAGAATTCACTTACCAATGCTCTCATTCACTTGGTTTTTTTGCAAGATTCAAAGAGAGTGAAAGGGTTTTAAGATCACTAAGAATACACATGCTCTCTTGAGAAGCTCAGATAATTTTAATACCATTAGAATTTTGAAAAGCCCTACCATAAAAAGTTTCGGAATAGGAGTTAACAGATATCAAGATTAACATCATACTTTAGCTAAGATTTCATTTTGTTTACAAATGATTACTGTTCCCTGAATCTTTATAAGCTAGTTGAGCAAAAAATCTATATGTTATTAGGGGCAAATGAAGATTAAAATATCGATCAGTGATACTGAATGTATCAAGACGCCAGACCTTGCTATCACAGTGAGCGTTTGAGGGTTGCGTGCACTGGCAAGAGGAGGACTACTAATTGGACAGTATGGTGTGAGAGAGTCCTGGCAGCGTGGAGATGCCCTTCTGGGAAATAAGCCTGCATCTTCCATTATACAGGCACTCAGTGGAAAAGCAACATGAAACCAGCTACCTGCTCGCTCTGTGCCTGTCTCCTGGGGCTACTGTAGTGAAAACCACAGAAACTCATACCCTACAAGTCAAGGAGTGCAAAAGTCGGAGAGCAGGTGTCAGCAGGGCCAAGCTCTCTTGAAGCCCCAGGGAATAATCTGTCCCTGAGTCTCTCCAGCTGGTGGCACCTGCGTCCTTGGTGCTTTTGGCAAGTGGGTGCATCACTTTGATCTCTGCCTCCAGCGTCGCCCTGCACCCTCCCTGTGTCTCCTCATAGGACGTCACCAGGCGTGTTGGGCCGGGGCTAACCACAATAGCCTCATCTTAAGGTGTTTACACCTGCAAACCCAAGTTCGCTGGCCCTTGTCCCAGCTGCACACGGTGGCATCTCCAGACCTTTCCCAGTTATTTCTAGGAGACTGATAGGGTGGCTGAACCCAGGCAGCCATCCACTGTCCTCCGACTTCACTCCCTCTCCACCAAGGGGGTCTGCTCCCCTGCCCCTTGCATGGAGCCACAGCACTGTCCCACCCTGAGGGCACTGACCTCAGGTGCACTGAGAGCTGTGACCTGCCCAGGTGAGGGGCTGCACCCACTCTGTGCACCAGCAGGAAGACCCCCTTTCCCCAGGTAAGTTCTGGGCTTGGTCAGTGGGCACCACTCCAAGCCTCCTGCTCAGACCAAAGCCTCACCACCCGCCAGCAGATGGGGCTCCCCGACTCCAGCTCACACCGTGGCCCTGAAGCCTTCCCCACAGCCAGGCGCCCCCAGGCCTGGGTGAAGGCTTAACGGGGCAGGGCCTGGGAAAGAGCAGTTAGGAAGCGTCTCTCCATGACACCCTCATGACTGGCAGACCCAGCACCAGGTTATGCCTTGACCAAACCAGAAGGCTGCCACCCTCCACCTCCTGTATGTGACCATTCCCAAAGCTTCCAGAGATCAAGCGACTCGCCCAAGTCCTAATGATTTGAAGGCTCCGAGCGGGATATCCTAGGACTTGCAGGGAGGGAGCAGTTTCAAGACAGCATCTCTCCATCCAGCAGTAGAACAATGAGAGGATGAGACAGTCCCTCAGAGGGGAGAAAGTGGCTTCCCCTGCGTGGAAGCAGAGAAAAGTCCCAGGCAGGCCCCGAACGTGGAGGCCCGTAGATGCTCGCCCGCATGCGGAGAAACATTCTCACACAGAGATTCAGACACATGAAAGCAAAAGTTTTTTCTATCTTTTAGAAGGACAAATAAAAGAGAGAGAAGGGGGGAGAGGGGTAGGGAAGAGAGCAGAGAGATGGCATGACATCCCAAAGAAAGAGAAGCCAAATTGCTCAGTGCTTTTATGGGGATGAAAAGAAAAATAGTTAATAGTCGTGGATTGCTGTATCCAGCTCCTTCTCCTCTTCTTAACTGCAAGCAGATGATGGAAGCTGCTGTGTGAAACTGCTGCACCCCTTCCCTTTGCTTTAGGGATAAAGTGACCTTGCCCTCACGCTATGGCTAGAAATTGTCCCCCATGCTGCCATCTAGGACCTTCTCCAGGCTGTAGAAACAGATGCTAAATGGCAGTTTTAGTCAATAGGTTTACCACTGTAAAAAAGTTTATATTTCCTTTTGTTTGCTGGGCTCCTTTGAGATGTTCTGAACTCCACAGGGCACCTGTTAGCTGGGTGGAGAAGGAGCAGAGCTGATTTATTTCATTCACAAGATCCACTGTCATTTCACTCCCATTTATTAATATTTCATATGTCCCTTAGCATGGATAGATAAATAATAGAGAAGTCATATATATGTGTGTGTGTGTGTATATATATGTGTGTGTATATATATATATATATATATATATATATATAGAGAGAGAGAGAGAGAGAGAGAGAGAGAGAGAGATGTTAATGGAAAAAAACCAATCTCTGTAAAATTATTGAGACAGGTTTATTCTGAGCCAAATATGAGTGATCACTACCCAAAACTTCACAATATCAGAGGTCCTAAAAAAGTATACCCAAAGGGGTTGGGTTAGTTTGGTTTTATACATTCATTGCAATCAGTAGAAAGGAATGGTTTAAGATTAAGGTCTTAAAAGGTCATAGAGCAAGACTCAGACTCAACATGATCTGTTAAGTGTCGATGGCCTGCAGTCATGGCTTAACCTTTGCCTTGCATGGTCTTGGGTCCTGTTGTAATTTAGTATCTTATTGTCACAAAAAAATATGTTTTGTCAGCTTTATAATTTATAACATTAATGCTGATCTAAACGCCAAAAGGAAGAGTGTATGAGAGAGTGTGTCCAATCACTCATTTGAGAAATAAAAATAAAATTCTAAGACTCTCAAGTAACTGAATGGACCCCCCACACACACACTTTTGGGCGAAGAGACCCCAGAGAAACCTTAAAACTGATACACCAGCCATGACAGAATGGGAGATCAGACAAGCCTCATTACACCCTCTCTTGTTAAACACCATTATCTTTTTCCCTCAGGGTTAAACAGAAGCAGCTCTTTCTGATTCCACTCAACCACCTAATGCAGCTGCTCCTTTTTTGTGACTTGGCACAGCAACTGGCCAGCATTCCCTCCTGACATCTTGTCCGCCAATCATGAAGTGGTTCTCAGCAGTCCACAGAGAACGCACAGTGAAGAATCTGTGTCTTCCGCTTTACCTTTAGACATCAGAGGGCTGAAAACTCCACCCTTGAATCAGGATAAAACTGCCACTTTCTGAGCATGGGACCCATGAAGTAGCCTAAAGCTTAATTGTGCATGCTCATGTTTCCCCTTTCATAAATATTCGTCAATCCTCCCATATGTTAGATATGTTCCAGGTGAGAACCCGAAAAGTATGTGTAGGACAAAATGGGGTTAATGCAAAACTTAGGCTTGTAAAAACCAAAGCCACAGGAGTCTGGGGCGTCCCTGACTTTGTAAATCTAACAGCCAGCTGCAGCCAGCTCCCC